AGTGCAGAAATAATTACTTTGAAATAGTGGAATTTGTTTGCTTTAGGTGTGTGGATGAAAATGAAGCAGAGGCATGGAAGTTAGGTAAGGAAAGTGTGAGCCTCAAATGTCAAAGTGTGCAGAGGAGACAGAGGAGAGGGACGACGACATGCATATATGGACCGCCGACCACCTGATATATACAATCAAATCATACGTTTTATTATGCCCTCTCTCTTTCACTCACAAGTCGCTAATCACGCCATTATCAACTTCTTTTTATCTTTTCTTTGCCCCCTTTTCACATTCACACGTGATTTCATGTTCCCCTTCCTACCAATACTACTCAATTTCTTTGCAGATTGCAGTAACCAGTACTCTCTATATATCAGATGATTTATTTTATCCATTTAATTTTAATTCAATCGTTCATATTTATTTCTAAACAGATAGTTAATTATATAAACATAGTCAAAATTACTTAATCTTAAGTATCTGATTAAAATTTGTCTCTCATATTTTTATCTATTCCATGATATATATGATACTTTATATGCATTATGTATGTGCACATTCTCTCTCCTTGGACCCAACGATTATTCCTAACTAGAAACCAAAAAATAGCTGGTTTCCTTGGCTATGTACAGTGAGTTGGATATTCCATGGTTCCTTATCTTTTGGGGAACTTCTAAAAAAGTTAATTTTTTGTATATGGGTACCACTTTATGCATGCATATAAGTAAGTAGCACATCTAACCAGTCATATTCATAAATAATTTTTGGCTGAAGGCAAATTGAAAACTACTTCTGCATGTAACAACAAACCAGTATGGACTGATAAATATTTGAATAATGCTAAGTGTACAACAATATTAGAATAACAAAATTAAGTTGAGTATTGTGCATGATCATGCATAACTATTATTTATGACTTTTAATCTCATCTTATATCTATATTTTATTATGCACTTTATATGGCAGAATATCAACTTGCGTATACCCCAGTTAATTTATCATTTCATCTGATCAAGACTTTAAACCTGTGAATATAATAATATTTTTTGGGGTATGACCTATGAATACATTTGAACCTAATGCATGTTCGACTTAAATGCGTAAGTGTTAAGAATTTTATGCAACGAAAGAAATGTTTACAAAATATTATATTAACATTTCAATCCGTATGTTAGTGGGGTTTAACCCCAGCTTGAAGAACCATGGCCTATTACACAGTGATGTTGGGCCCATTATCAATTATGGACCAAAACAGGACACAAAATCATGTTTGACAAAAGAAAACCATTTACTCATAAACAGATTATGGAAACCCTTTATCAGGCCCATTATCATGGGAAAATGCATCGCTTGTAAAACCTGTTTGTCAGTTTTGTTAAACACGTAATTATAAGAGAATTTCTGTGTGTGTGATAAAATAGATTTTCCTTTACATCTTTAGTAGTACTGTATATCTGGGTTTAGTCCCTTTCTCGTCCGACAATAAACACGAAATGGTGGCTAATAATAATTACTCGAATTTTGTAAGTTTGTATTATGGTACAGCTGTTTAATCTAACTGTACTTTAATTGTTAAACAAACACAGATTAGGATTAGAATGAAAAATAGTAACAGCATACGAAAATATTTACACGAATTAGGATACTGAAGATCTATATTCCATGGTACCAAAAAGATTATAAAAAAATGTAGATTTCTTAAAAGAGCAAAACCGGAAAAGCTGGTTGGGGACATAACTTACATGTGCCTATCTTGTAGATTGTCGTTGATTCCTTAGTCCCTAGGATATGCTAAATATTAAGTACGGATTTGAGTAAGTGTGTGAACCTAATTTTCACTTAACTTTGAATTTATAAAATTATTTTCTGAAATAAATTTAAAGCAATGTTATTTATGATTGAAGGTTTTTTTTTTTCCTTAGAATTTAGTTTGCCGTAAAAAATTAGTATAAATCCTGTAACTTACAAAAAAGTTATAATTTATAACATCAACTAAAAATGTAAGTTTAAGATTTGTTTGATGGACATTGAATAAAAAAAGTTTTGACTTGAGAGTTAAATATAAAATAAGAGCATGATAAGCATTTTTTTTTTCTTTGTTACATTTAATGCATGTCAAGATGACAAACTAAATTCATTGTGTTATTAAATCCTCTTTATTTTTTAACCCAAGCTCCCCAAAAGATAAAATCTGCAGTCGAAAGAAAGATAAGATAAACTCATAAACTAAACTAATTATATTCTATTATTTAGAAAGAAAAAAAAAATACATCAGATTTAACTCCTCTAAATTAAGATGTGTGAAATAAAAGAAGTGAGTATATATCTACCATTATTTTAAATTTAAGCATTTATTTCGTTTAATTAACTTATCATTATGACATTATATAAGATTTTATAAGAGGAGTGAGTTTATAAAATATGTAATATTTTATATCTATATAATTAATAGTTTCAAAATCATTGTGTTTTTTTTTTATTTGTATTACATTACATTTCAATTAAAAGAGATATAAATGTCTAAAAAAATAAGACATTTATTTGGCATTTAAAATTAATTTTGTATCAAATTGGGCAGTACATAATTATGATATTAAATATGTTAATTTGATAATATCAATTCATGTTATTGAGTTGTCAATCAAAACAAGAACGATTTTTTGTTTTTGTTTTTATATATATCTTTCAATATTTGAAGGTGTCAACAACACACACACACACACACACACACACATATATATATATATATATATATATATATATCAATTTTTAACTATACTTACCTATTCTTATAAAATAATTAATTTATAGTATAAGTTTTAAGTTTATGTAAATTTTTAGTTTGAAAAATATAATTTTTTAAAAATAATTTCAGTTTTGTATAAAGATAATTAAAAGAGGTTGAAGGAATTTTATTATCTTCCATGTATAAAATTTTAATAAAATTTATTTTGTTCATTAATTACTATTATTAAACTAAATAATTTAATTAAAATTTAATTGAAATACAACGATACATTTTTTTTATTGACATTGAATCATGAATTTTCACATAATTAAAAATTATTGATTTTTTCAATAATTTCTTAAAAAGTTATATATATGGTTATTTATATTTGGTTGATGTTATAAAAATATTTTTACCAACAACGTATCAAATAATTTCAATGTTATGTTTATTTGAAACTATAAATATATAGTGATGAATTAAAATCACAAAATTTAGGTTACAAAAGAAAGTGCAACTTACTTAAGGTAATGGTGATTTGCAAATGTACTATTGAATTTAGAGTTTTGAGGTGAATGTGGACGATGAAAGATACGCATGAATGCAAGTTGGATGATTTCCCTAACAAAGTCTATTGGAGATTGCATTGGTCCACTGTGACCAATGGGTGATGCTCCATGGACTCTGCAAAATACTTATATGCCAAAATCCTATTTGCTCAGTGCTGACCCAAAGAAAGCCAATTATCCACTTGTCCACCAAATATGCGCTGTGAGTGTAGTTGTTATGCTTGTTCTTTCTTTTTCTTCACCAAGACTTGTGACTCCCATTTTCAAATGGTCGCCATGGTTCCATTGTTATTCCCATTTGTTGATCAAAAGAGAGACACTGGTCAATTATCCAACTTGACCAACTTCTTATCCACATGTTCTTATATTCCCCTTTTTTATTGAGTTTTTTTTTTAATATTCTTTGAGGATCATGTGTAATATATATATATATTATGATTAATAATACTAACTCTTTTTAAGCAATTTTTTTCGAGATACAAAATTTTAACCTGAGATATTGTTTAAGAGAAATAAAATGTATTACTTGAATCAATACCTATTATTTTAATATGTTTATGTTTTAGTAAATTTACGGATAAATAAAATTAAGGTGATTGACCAAATTTATGTTACTTCCCTTGCATGTAAAGTAAAACTCAGAAAACGGTAACTTAACTCATTTGAGTTAACTTGTTGAAGGTGACAGAATATAGTGAATGAAGACTAAAAAGTCTGAATTAAATCTAGGCGAGCAAAATAATGCCTAAACTTAAGAAAAGCTTGATTTTTTTGGACCTTTTGGAAATTAAATATATATAATTAAATTAGATTAAATTAAAAAATTGATTTTAATTTTGACACATTTAAAGTGGAATATTATATATTTATTTGATGAATTCAAATTAACCCACTTTACCATCTTAAAAAGTTCATAATATATTTTTCAAAATTATTATAAACATAAACACTTCTCATTAATTGTGAAATATTTTTTATTTAGTTATTTTTATATAGTGCAATAGTTTTTCTATTACTTATTAAAATTTAAAATTTAATCTATCAATCACTTTTAAACTAATTTTAATGCATTAACAATATAAAAGCATTTTTACAATATTTTCTAGTAATGAATTGCTATATGATTAATAATTTTCAATTTTGCAATAATTAATATAAAAATCATAGTTAATTTATATCTTAATTAATTGACGGTGTGATTTTTTTATACATCAAGATTTAATTCATTTTTTTTATCTTCAATTTTCTTTGAAATGTTTTTTTATTTTACATTATGATAATTTATCTTCTCATTATTTACATTTTCAAATTAATTTATTTGAATTTTTAATAATTTGATATTTTCTATCTAAATTTAAACTATTTATTCCATTTATTTATTAGTTAAATTATATACACCCCTTAATTTAAATACTATGTTTTAAAAATTCACTTAAATTGAAGAATATCTATGATCAATCTGTACATTGTAAATAGAACAGTTGCCAAATACTATATATTGGTTGGATTGAATGACATAAATATAACAAATGAGTTTTCGAATATTTAAGTGTACAGATATTTATACGTATTTTTGTAGGCAGAGCGAATGGGGTGTACGATAATTACAGGTGGAACTAATGGCGGTCATTGAAATATCTAATCTTAAAAAAATTCTGTTTATACATATGATTGTTAATTAATGTCTCACATATTTAATAATTTATTTATTGACTTAAATTGGGGTAATCTTGGGTGTCCGCGTGTGTAGTGTGTTGTTGTTCTCCGAGTCTGGGATTTTGCTCTGTTTCTTCTGTCTCTGTGGCTGTGGGTTTTCTTTTGTACGCTGCTTAGCAGAAAGAAGCAGCAGCAGCAGCGGAAGAAGAAGAAGAAGCAAAATTCAGAAGCGGGCAAAGAGAAGTAACTGTGGGTTAGGTTTGTTAGCTTCAACTTGAATCGAAATTCGTAAAGTAAAAGAGAAAAAAAAAAAAGAAAAAAGGAAAAGAGGGACAGAATAGGCGTTGATAGACCGCGGAATCTCAAAGAATCTCACAACAGGATTTGTGGTTTTAGGTGCACACACTGCACACACCTCTCTTTTTCATCACTATTAATTCATTTTTTCATTCTGCTCTTCTCTTCTATTCTTCTACCGTTTACTCCCACAACTTTCAACCTTCCCTTGATTTCTATTTATCGATACCCTTTTCTTCTTCTTTCAAGTTTCAACCCTCTCTTTATTTATTTATTTATGTTCTAATAAAAAAAAATTGGATTGAGCATAATCAAACAAATAAAAGTGAAGAGGGTGGGTATGGAGGACGGGAATAGGGTTCCGGCGGGGGATGAGGCAGTGGGTTCTTACTGGCTGGATGCGTGTGAGGACATATCCTGCGATTTCATGGATTTTGATGTCTCATCCATCGTCTCAGAGCAACCTGACAACACTTCCAATCAGGACTTCTTCGGTGGCATTGATAAAATATTGGACAGCATCAAGAACGGTGCTGGTCTCCCTCCTCATGTTGAACCCAATTCCAATTCCAATGTTGTTGCAGGAGCAGAAGCTTGTTTGCTTAATGATCCCTCCAATGCCACTCTCCACAAGAATGGATTGGTTGGGGAGAAACATCCTCGTACTGCTGATGCTTTTGACCATTCTGGACCTCAGAGTAATGGCTCTAGTAAGATGTCAAATGGGAGTGAAGGGGGAGTTTCGGCTAATCACTCTCAGGAAAGTGGAGGTGTGCTTCTCAATGGACTTGACGGTGAAGAGAGATGCGGCAAAAGGGCTCGCCTTGGCAGCTACAGGAATGACAGGCCTTGTTATGGTAGACCGAATTATCAAGCCAAGGAGAGGGAGAGGTGTTTGAATAACAGGAAGAGGCCGCGGGATAGGGATGAGATTGATAGGAGGGATAAGGATGCCGTGAGGAAAAGAGAGCATTATGGTAATTGTGGCAGGAGGGATGTTAGAGATAGGGATTGGAGGGATAGAGAACCCAGGGGTTACTGGGAGAGGGATAAGTCAGGTTCTAATGACATGGTCTTTCGCTTGGGCACTTGGGAACCTGATCGTAATCGAGAAGAGAAAATGGCAAATGATGCCAAACAGGAAACTAATGGAAAGCTTGATAAGAAATCTGAGGAGGCTAAGGAGAGGGCTCCTGAGGAGAAAGCTAGACAGTATCAGTTGGATGTTCTGGAGCAGGCAAAGAAGAAAAATACTATAGCTTTTCTTGAAACTGGAGCAGGGAAAACCTTAATTGCTGTTCTTCTCATTAAAAGTATACAGGAGACTTTGCAAAAGCAAAATAAGAAGATGCTCGCTGTATTTTTAGTTCCAAAAGTTCCACTTGTTTACCAGGTAATATATTTATTGTCAATTTATTTATTCTTAAATGTTTTTGCTAGGAGAAAATATGACATTTAAGTAATGCAATGCAAATGTTGTCCAGTCATTGCTGTCGAATTTCATGCGGTTCTAGTTCTTTGTCTAATTACAGTAAGCTTAACTAATTATAGCAAGCTAAACTAATTCTAGTTCTTTCTCTAATTGCAGCAAGCTGAAGTAATTCGTGAGCGGACTGGTTATCAAGTGGGCCACTATTGTGGAGAAATGGGGCAGGATTTCTGGGATGCTCGAAGGTGGCAGCGTGAATTTGACACCAAACATGTATGTTTTGAAATTTCTATTGAAGATGTGCTGGCCTACGCTTGCTATCACTTTGTTTTTTATTTTTTTCATTTGTGTTTGAGTCTATTAGCGTAATTTTTTTTCTAATTTGGTTATGCTGTACAGTATAACATTTGGTTTCTTAATTCAGATTCCATTATGTTTTCTTCTTCATATTTGTTTGTATTTTCCTTACTTCTAGAGTTGGTTACTGGTAAGGAATTTTTTCCTTATTATTGTTGAAGATAAGTTGTTCATTCATGGCTAATGTATATATGTTCTTTAAATGGAAGGAAGTTTTGCTTGGATATCTAAATTGTAGCAAATGCTGCTTTTGTAGTAAATGGTCATAACTAGCATAGATTTTTGTTGTACCTAACTTGCAATAGCATGTGGAAAGGAAAATTTTCTAAATTTGTTGAGGTTTAGAAATTAGAAGTTATAACCAATGGTCTTAATTCTATTAAATTTTAGCTGTTGGATTAAATCTAAGTTATTTAGTAGCATACTGGTATGGATTAGACTTTTTCTTTTTTTCAGATAATCATATCTGCATGATAATTCTAACGGGGATTGTTCAAGACTTGAACTTTTATATGTTGAACTTAGATGGAATGTTTTTTTAGTTTCCTCGGTTATAATAATTCAGATTTCAAATTCAGAACATGTGAGGATGGTGAGTATATTTTTTGATGATTTTGTACTTAGGCTTCTGTTTTTCTTTTTTAGATGACTTAGGCTTTTCTTTTGGTACTCCTATGCCAACACATGGATTTGACCCCTTCAGTGTCTCAAAGATGCAACTTATCCTAAAAACTAGGAATTTGTAATCATTGGCTAGTTTTTGAAGCTCTTGTAGTCTCTTTCTATTTTTTCTTTTAATAAAAAAGCAGTGCATGTCAAGATGTTGGTAAATCACGCATAAAGACATGATTTTATGAGAGTTTAAAGTTGTATTGATTTTTGTTTCTTCCTTGGCCTGGTTTGCATTTTACTGCAATAACTCATTTGGTTATTCTTGATGTAGGTTTTAGTCATGACTGCTCAAATTCTTTTGAACATTTTGAGGCATAGCATAATAAAAATGGAATCAATCAATCTCTTAATTTTGGATGAGTGCCACCATGCTGTGAAGAAGCACCCATATTCACTGGTGATGTCTGAGTTCTACCATACAACATCCAAAGAGAAGAGGCCATCTGTATTTGGAATGACTGCCTCTCCTGTTAACTTGAAGGGTAGTTATTGCAATTCTCAACTGAACTTGGGATCCTGTGCTTAGTTACTAACTTTCTCAAGCTATGATTTGCTTGGGGTCTGAAACCCTTATTTGACAATGTTCTATTCTTTTATAATACTTGATATTTTTGTTGTTTTCTTTTTCGGCTCAACATTACTCATGCTTATGTTATATTCAGGTGTCTCCAGCCAAGTAGATTGTGCAATAAAAATTCGTAATCTTGAAAGTAAGCTAGATTCAATAGTTTGCACTATTAAAGATCGTAAGGAGTTGGAGAAACATGTGCCAATGCCCTCTGAAGTTGTGGTGGAGTATGATAAAGCTGCCAGTTTATGTTATCTACATGAGCAGATAAGGCAGATGGAGGTTGAAGTTGAAGAAGCTGCAAAATCTAGCTCAAGAAGAAGCAAATGGCAGTTCATGGGAGCTAGAGATGCCGGAGCTAAGGAAGAGCTGCGCCAAGTATATGGTGTTTCAGAAAGAACAGAAAGTGATGGAGCTGCAAACCTAATTCAAAAGTTGAGAGCTGTTAATTATGCACTTGGCGAACTGGGACAATGGTGTGCATACAAGGTACAAACTACTTCATGGAGAATGAGGAATCATGAGTTTCTTGGCCATCTATATAATTTCTTTTTCTTGTACAGGTTGCACAGTCCTTTCTAGCTGCCTTGCAAAATGATGAAAGGGCAAACTACCAACTTGATGTCAAGTTTCAGGAATCTTATCTAAGTAAAGTTGTCTCTCTTCTGAAATGTCAACTGTCAGAAGGTGCAGTTTCTGACAAAAATGATGGAATTGATGACTCAGAGACTGGTGCAGCTAAAAGTGGGTCTGAACATGAAGAGATTGAAGAAGGAGAGCTTCCAGATAGTCACGGTGAGTCATGTTGTCCAGACTTTGTAATGGCTCAAATTACATGGGTTAAGTAGTTCATAATTGTTTAAATTTGTAAATTATCCTGGTAAGCTGTATATATTTTTTTAATTTGGTAATTTCATAGAGCATACAAGAAATTGGACTACCAAGATTTTTAGCAAAATATTTTACATGTGAGAGTGCATTTGTAGTTCACTACATGTCTAATTTATGGTTTGCTTTGTAAAGATATTTAAATATAAATACCAATGATTGACATTGAATGTAGTTTAATCTTTTATTTAAGCTGACACACTTTTGTTCAGTTGTCTCCGGTGGGGAGCATGTGGATGTCATTATAGGAGCTGCTGTGGCTGATGGCAAGGTGACCCCCAAGGTGCAGGCACTAATCAAAATACTTCTCAAGTACCAGCATACAGAAGACTTCCGTGCAATCATCTTTGTTGAGCGTGTTGTGTCTGCATTAGTTCTACCCAAGGTCATATATACACACATTACTTTTATAGGTCCTTTTGGTTGGTTCAGTTGCATAATCAAGATTCTACTTGTCCATTGTGTGTCAATCTTGGCAGGTCTTTGCAGAGCTTCCATCTCTTAGTTTTGTGAAATGTGCAAGCTTGATTGGCCACAACAATAGTCAGGAAATGCGGACCTACCAAATGCAGGATACAATTGCCAAGTTCCGTGATGGGCGGGTAAGATTTGTATCTTCTTGTCGTGGTTTAGCTATCAGTTTTCCTGGGGAAAAATAATTCCTTCTATTCTCTCAATTGCACTAACTTACTCATTTGTAGGTCACGTTGTTAGTGGCCACTAGTGTAGCTGAAGAAGGACTTGATATTCGGCAATGCAATGTTGTTATTCGCTTTGACCTGGCGAAGACTGTTCTGGCATACATTCAATCTAGGGGCCGTGCTAGAAAGCCTGGGTCTGATTACATCCTTATGGTTGAGAGGTGCTGGTTATGACCTTGTCATTTTCATTTTTGTGTTTTTGTTCAAGTATGCTTTTCTGGAGATTTAGTAAGCCTAAGAGAACTGCAATCTCTTTTTTTCTTTTTTGGGGGGTGGGGGGAGGGGGGGGGGAACTTATTATGTTTTGCCTTTCCTCGCATGACCTGGTGTCTAACTGCTGGTTTGTTTATAGTGAAGTCATGGCCTGCTTTAATGACAATGACTGTCTCATTAGTAATTGAGTGGTGCAAGGTGCAGGACTTCATAGTCCCCCTCCAACCTTTGTAACTAAGAAAAGTTTTTATTCACTCTTGGGTGCTTTTTTAAATTGTTATTATTATTATTATCATCCAACTATTGATATTGAGTAACCCTCCTTTTAGTCCCTAAAATTATAAGCATCAGCCACTTTTATCTTTGATTTTACAAAATTCTTACTTCAGTTCTTGACTTCGCAAAATATCATATTCATTTTGTCTTTTTTCTTTTGTACAAAATGACAATATTGAAGTGGAAAAAAGAGTAAAATAAATGAACTTTTGCAAAGTTAATGACCAATGTGTAAACTTTGTAAAGGTAAGGACTACAATGAGGGTTTACTCATTGATTTTCCCTTGTTTTTCTTGGTTGTCTTTTAGTTTCATTCTTTGGTTTAGGTGGATTTCTCACCCTCCTCTTTGTGATTCATTTTCGCTGTCTCAAAATTGTTATTGTTGTTGTCATGGTCATAACATGGGAGGTCTAAGATCTGATGTGAGAAAGGGGACGATAGGCTATAGTTGAGGCAGAGTAGCCTGGTAGGATATGAACATGGGACCAAGTAGTCTACCAAAAAACTTGATGCCACTTGAGCTGAGGCTCATGGGCTAATTGATTTTGCTATTTGAAATACAATGTAAACTTGTTTTTTATTTAGTTTCAAGCGTGGTTTAATTGCAAAAGGTTTTAAAATTTCCAATCAATAATGAATTGTGCTGTTGAAGTTTCTGCTTTTCCTTCTCTGATAGGCATACTGAAAAACTTATGCTGTCAATTTTGTTGGATCTGGCATCAATCAGCATTATGTTCCTAATTTTACCTTACATAGTTACATGGTGTTTCATATTTTAGTGGATGCTGAATAACTGAAAACTCATTTATGTGTATATAGGGGAAATTTGTCACATGAAGCATTCCTACGGAATGCCAGGAACAGTGAGGAGACTTTGCGCAAAGAAGCAATAGAGAGAACAGACCTAAGTCATCTGAAAGACACTTCAAGATTAATTTCTGTAGACACCCGGCCTGGAACAGTGTACCAGGTCAAATCAACTGGTGCAGTTGTGAGCTTAAATTCTGCCGTAGGTCTTATCCACTTCTACTGCTCTCAGCTACCCAGTGACAGGTGCTGCATTTCTGGCTGAGATTGGTGGTTTGCTTTACTGTTTTTATTTTTTTTAGCCTTAAATTATGAATTGGATATCTTCTATCCATTGTCCAGATATTCAATTCTTCGTCCTGAGTTTATTATGGAGAGGCACGAAAAACCAGGAGGTCCCACTGAGTATTCTTGCAAGCTTCAACTGCCGTGTAATGCACCATTTGAAAATCTTGAGGGTCCTATATGCAGTTCAATGCGCCTGGCCCAACAGGCATGCCATCATATATTATGAATTTGGTTGTTTCTGCTAATCATTATGCAAGAACCATTGTTTAATTTGGTGTTATGCAGGCTGTTTGTCTGGCTGCTTGCAAGAAACTGCATGAGATGGGAGCATTCACTGACATGCTATTGCCGGATAAAGGAAGTGGGGGAGAAAGAGAAAAGGCTGAGCAAAATGATGAAGGAGATCCACTTCCAGGGACTGCTAGACATAGGGAATTCTATCCTGAAGGTGTGGCTGACATACTGAAGGTTGGTTCTTTCTGCAAACTATTTGATCTTAGCTGTCTCTTTGTAAGGGTTTTTTAATATTGTTGACCAAAACTCCATTTACTGTTATTCATTTGTAAAGAAAGCTTGTGTATAATAGTTTAATCAAATGCTATGTATGACCTTGAAGGTTTTGAAGATGAATTATTAATGAAACAAAGACGATAACTACTGAACAAGTGCAATCTAAATACATCCCATTTAGGAAAAGAACGCAGATACTTCCATGGCAATGAAAATTCACCAAAGCTGTGTCTGTGCTATGAAGAACATATGATTTTAGTAGTCTTAAGTGACAGAGGATTTTGTTCTTACCTTTCTGTTTTTTCCATGAGAGTTCTTATCTTGAGTTTGTTGACTTGCCCTCATTGTTGCTCAATGCTATCTGAACTTTCAGGGAGAATGGGTCTTATCTGGAAAAGATGCTTGCAACAACTCCAAATTGCTTCATCTTTATATGTATGCTGTGAAGTGCGAAAATGTAGGCCATTCAAAGGATCCGTTCTTGACTCAAGTTTCAGATTTTGCAGTTCTTTTTGGCAATGAGCTGGATGCAGAGGTAGTAATTACTGTTTGTGCTACTGCTTCTAGTTCAATTTTGAGTATTATAAATTCATTTACTCCCTCTGATCATATTCATTTTATAGGTGTTATCGATGTCAATGGATCTATTTATCGCTCGAACCGTGACTACAAAGGCATCTCTTGTCTTTAGAGGGTCAATAGATATTTCTGAGAGTCAGGTTGACAGTTAACCATTGTCCATAGTTGTATTAGATGTTCATATGTTTTAAAAATTGAAATATTTTATACCTGGATAAAACCTTTTTTCTTATGGCATGCAGCTGGCATCCTTGAAAAGCTTTCATGTTAGATTAATGAGCATTGTCTTGGATGTGGATGTTGAACCATGTACCACTCCTTGGGATCCTGCAAAAGCATATTTGTTTGTCCCAATGGTTTGCGATAAGTCTGTAGATCCTATGAACCAAGTTGATTGGCATCTGGTTGAGACAATAATTGGAGCAGATGCATGGAAGAATCCCCTCCAGAGAGCTCGACCAGATGTTTACCTTGGTACTAATGAGAGAACATTAGGTGGAGACAGAAGGGAATATGGATTTGGGAAGTTGCGTCATGGCATGGCTTTTGGACAAAAATCACATCCAACCTATGGAATCAGAGGAGCTGTGGCCCAGTTTGATGTGGTGAAAGCTTCAGGATTGGTTCCTAACAGAGATTCCATGCAAACACAAAAGCACATCAATATGACTATCAAAGGGAGATTGATGATGGCAGATACCTGTACTAATGCTGAGGATCTGTTAGGGAAAATCGTAACTGCTGCTCATTCAGGGAAGAGGTTTTATGTTGATTCAATACGCTATGATATGTCAGCGGAGAACTCTTTCCCTAGGAAAGAAGGTTATCTTGGTCCTCTAGAGTACAGTTCATATGCTGATTACTACAAGCAAAAGTATGATGTACATTCTCTTTTGATTATAATAGTTGTCTAGTTTTTTCTCCCCTATCCAGCTAAGCTTCCCTATGCCATTTTTCTGTAATCTTTTATTATCATGTGTCTTGAAAAATCTTACCAATAACTTGTTAGCCACATTGCACCTCTGATGTTGTGCAGGAAGAGCAGGGAGCTAATCTTAATCTGTGAAGGAATCTTCTGTTGTCACCTCTAAATTGTGAGGGCTTTATCAACGATGATCCATTGAAAGTGACAATAGCTTGTCAGTCCTTCCAGATTAAAGAAGCTTTTTGTCTCTTCTTGCACAACTGAGGGTGCACATGGCTACTGGTTTTTCTATGGCTTTGGTGTAGGTATGGGGTTGATTTGATATACAAGCAACAACCTCTTATAAGAGGGCGTGGTGTCTCATACTGTAAGAATCTTCTGTCCCCCCGATTTGAGCACAGTGAAGGTTTGTTCTCATGATTCCTATCCTGGAATTATTGTCCTCTGCAAATTTGTAAATTCTTGTGTAATGGGAAATTTCATGTCATTGTAGGACACGAAGGTGAATCTGAAGAGACTCATGACAAAACTTATTATGTTTTCCTTCCTCCTGAGCTATGCCTAGTTCACCCTCTGCCTGGATCACTTGTCCGTGGTGCCCAGAGGTTGCCTTCAATAATGAGGAGGGTTGAAAGCATGCTACTTGCTATTCAGCTAAAGAATATGATAAATTATCCTGTCCAGGCTTTAAAGGTATCTTCTCTACTCAAGGTAGTTGGCTGTTAGTTCTAGTATTTGCAGTTAACCTATGCTTTCTACATGACAGATCTTGGAAGCCTTGACCGCTGCCTCTTGCCAGGAGACATTCTGCTATGAGAGGGCAGAGCTTCTTGGAGATGCTTACCTGAAATGGGTTGTTAGTCGATTTCTTTTCCTAAAATACCCACAGAAACATGAAGGACAACTTACTAGGATGAGGCAACAAATGGTCAGTAACATGGTATTGTATCAGTATGCATTAAGTAAAGGACTTCAATCATATATTCAAGCAGATCGCTTTGCCCCATCCAGATGGGCAGCTCCTGGGGTGCTTCCTGTCTTTGATGAGGATATCAAGGATGGGGATTCATCTTTGTTTGACCAGGAGAGATCCATTTCTAAGACTGAGAGTATGGATTGTCGGACTGATGAATATGAGGATGAGATGGAAGATGGTGAACTTGAGAGTGATTCAAGTTCTTACAGAGTTTTGTCCAGTAAGACACTTGCAGATGTTGTGGAAGCACTCATTGGGGTATATTATGTTGAAGGTGGTAAGAGTGCTGCTAACCACCTTATGAAATGGATTGGAATTCAAATAGAGTTTGATCCTGATGAGATGGAGTGTACAAGAAAGCCGTTTAATGTTCCAGACAGCATACTTAGGAGTGTTGATTTTGATGCTTTAGAAGGTGCTTTAAATCTGAACTTTAAAGACAGGGGGCTGCTGGTAGAATCCATAACTCATGCCTCCAGACCATCTTCTGGAGTATCCTGTTATCAACGGTTGGAGTTTGTTGGTGATGCTGTCTTGGATCATCTTATTACAAGGCACTTGTTTTTCACTTACACTAATCTGCCACCAGGACGTCTGACTGATCTTCGGGCTGCTGCTGTAAATAATGAAAATTTTGCACGTGTTGCAGTTAAACATAACCTTCATGTGCATCTCCGACATGGTTCCAGTGCCCTAGAAAAACAGGTCTTTTTCTTTCAAATGACTTTCTATTATTACTGGGATAGTTATTCGAACATTATGATTCAACAATTTTTTATTTTTTTTTACTTTACTTTTCTTTCCCCAATTCTCAACAAAGAAATTGAAAAATTGCATAAGCTTAACTTATTAAATGAAAGGAATTGGGAAAGCATTACTGAACGTATCCTTTTAGATTATTCCACTACTCTATTTGTCACACCCATTCAATGCGTGCACTCTATTTAACTGTTCTATTGCGCTGTTTTCATTCTTGCCAAATAAAAGCTTCACACACTTGTAATTTTATTGTGAGACTTGCGGCAAAGCTTTATCTATTTTTAATTTAAAATTATTACATTAAGCACTATACATCATTTATATGAAATATTTGAATTTATTTTTTATTGTCTCTAAATCTTCCAACTCAATACTTATACATTTCAAAAATCAAAAATTAGCTTGAGGATTCATGATATGATTTCTCAGTTTGATAAACCTTGCCCGGAGATAGATCATATAACCTATGCCTAGTATTCCTAGTTTCTTGATGCAAGTTGATTCTTTTGTGGTTCTCCTGACATTGTGCTTTTGGTTGTGCGCAGATTAAAGAATTTGTGAAGGAAGTGCAAGATGAATTGTCAAAGCCAGGGTTTAACTCCTTTGGTCTGGGAGACTGCAAAGCTCCCAAGGTCCTTGGTGACATTGTTGAATCTATTGCAGGTGCTATTTTTCTTGACAGTGGGAGGGATACTACTATTGTTTGGAAGGTTAGCGCCTAGCTTTTGATTATACTGACCATTTCTTCCTATATTCTTTTGCCAAATGGGGAAAAAAATAACTGATGGAGAACATTCTTGGTCTTGCAAATTTCCCAGGTTTTTCAGCCTCTTTTGCATCCTATGGTTACCCCGGAGACTCTGCCAATGCATCCTGTGCGTGAGCTGCAAGAGCGATGTCAGCAGCAAGCCGAAGGCTTAGAGTATAAAGCAAGTCGTATTGGCAATTTGGCCACTGTTGAAGTGTTCATTGACGGGGTACAAGTAGGGGCTGCTCAAAATCCACAGAAAAAAATGGCACAGAAATTAGCTGCAAGAAATGCCCTTGCTGCTTTGAAAGAGAAGGAAGTGGGAAAAACTCAGGAGAAGAATGATGAAAATGGGAAAAAGAATGGAAATCAGACATTTACTAGACAGACGTTAAATGATATCTGTTTACGAAGAAATTGGCCTATGCCATTCTATAGGTATGAAATTATGAAGTTGCTCATATAGGGTCACGAATGGATGGTAACCATAGCTAAGTGACTATATTTTTTATTCCTCAACTTGTAGGTGTGTAAATGAGGGTGGTCCAGCACACGCAAAGAGGTTTACATTTGCGGTACGCGTCAATACTACTGATAGAGGATGGACAGATGAATGTGTTGGAGAGCCAATGCCAAGTGTCAAAAAGGCCAAAGACTCGGCTGCTGTTCTTCTCTTAGAACTACTAAACAAATTATACTCGTGAAAGATGGAGTTGTTCACGTTCTCTCTTGTCAAAACATTTAAACCATTTCTGTGCATCAGGTATTGAACCCAGCATTATCAACTTGTTTAAAGCACCATGTCCCCAATCAATGGTTGAATAAATTTGAAACTAGAGATGTTGTGAATTTAAAATAAATGTGTCTAATTTTTTGTAAATCCAATGAGAAAAACATGAAAATGTAGAGAAATGCTATGTCCTCCTACAATATTTTTCTACTAATTTTCCCAATACTTTATGACGAATTAAATGAAAAGGTAAATGCGTTTAATACTTTCCTCATCTAGTAAGTAGAAAAATCAGTAGAAAATAAATATTGTAAGAGGATTTAGAATTGTTAAAAAGTATAACTTGCACTGCACTCCTTCCAGTTTTTGAGACTACCATTAGAACCTGAATTGTAATGAGCACTCACTATGGCCGGTATTTTGTGACAGGATAGGAGTGGATATAGAACAAGTTGCCGACCAGAATTTTAGAGAGCAGTCAACCAACATTTTAGTCTTGATTGTTTCCAAGAACTCCTGCAAGAGGTGTATTATTGACTCTGATAATGGAGGTTGGGTTATACTATTTTGTAGGCTGTATTCCGGAAACAGCACATGCAAATTATTGGGTGACACCACGGTCTCATTATAACCTTTTTGCAAACATACTTCATGTAGTCGGTGCAAGTGACCCTTAAAAAAAATGCTAATCAATATTTTGCGCTTTCACTCAAGAAGTATGCTAATTGATATATTCCACGTTGACACGAGTACAGAATGAAGGTTACAAAAGTTGGGTCAACATTGACGAGAACACATTGCCAAATTATGCCTTGGAAACTGACAAATATATTTCAAACTTTTCAAGTTCGAGGATTCTACATGAAGCATTACGTATCGAGCACAGTTGATATTAAGCATTACATTAAGCACGGTTGATGAACCACGCAGGTGGGGTATTTTCCGACTAAATATAAAAACTATAATGTATAGATACGGTTGATTAAAACATATTAAAATAACTGTAGATTGCCGATTATTCTGAGTGATGGAGATTGGAGAATAGCATTCTTGTCTATCGGCTCAAGGTCTGCAGAATATACTCTGCGTAAAGATCCCTGCACCAAATCAGAGGTAAGATATTAAAGTAGCGTGAAAAATATGAAGCAGATTCCAAATTTTATAATATTGATTTATTTTTACATTTTGTTTGTTTTGCAGTTATGTTCGATAAAAGTTTATTTTTTTAGTGTAAAAAAGTGACGTAAAATAATCTTGATTCATAGTGAAATTATGTAACTATTATTGGTTATATAAACGTGACAGAAATGACCAAAAAGTGAAAACAAAAGCGGCACCAGAGAGAGAGAGGATTTTGTGACTGAAATGTTATTTTATTTACCATGAACAACATAAAAGTCAGTTTAAATTCTAAGCACGAGGTTAGGTTGAGATATACTGACATTGAGTACTGGATGGCATCAACAGCAACGCTTGCAGGTAGAAAATCGTTTACTGCTACCTCCTTGTTCTCATTCTTTTTGTCTTTAGCAATATGTTAAGAAAAATGTGAAGAAACTATAAGTAAACTTAGTAGAAATTTAACCACCAAATTGCTGAATTAAGAAGGATTGTTAAGGATACAATCTTCGAAGAAGCGTCGGATCTCAGAGATGCGATGAGGTGCAAGCTCTTTGTAGTCAGTAAAGTGCTTATATTCTGGGTCATCAGCACACACTGCTATAATTTTATCATCCTTCTCTCCCTGTGTCAAGTGTCAATAACACAAATTTGTGATTGTGTAATGGGAAACGGCAAAACGGGAAAAGAAGTGAGAGTGGTTTTATTGGCTAAGAAAACAAACAGAGACCTGATCAATCATTGGCATAAGTCCAATGGCCCTGGCTCGCAGGAAACAACCCGGAAGAACGGGCTCCTATAAATGTCAGTGATTCAGTAAGCTAAGTAGCAATTGCCTTGTTGATATATAGATACATACGTTGGAGAATTCTTAAATAGGCTTTACCTATTGTATGCACTTGTTCAACGATTAAAATGCGTTAGACATTCTTCGAAAAATTTATAAGTACATTTTTAGTATGTCCCATACAACATTGCACATGTTTAGTTATAAATGGAGTGTGCCTATAGGATTTCTCCAAAACATGGATGTATGCTTTCCATCAATAAAATCCTCATGCGTCAACGTTTCAGTAGCAGCTTTTAACTCTCGGCTACTAAATGAGGAAACTCTATAAATAAAATTGGACAGTTTTTCAAAACTAGCATTAATGTTTTAGTACTAGAATGTCGACAAAATTTAAGGCCTCTTGTATATTGAAAAAGATAATGATTTACCTGCATGAGAACCAAGACATCAAGCGGATCATTGTCTTCACAGAGTGTCCGTGGGATAAAACCGTAGTTATGGGGATAAACAACTGATGAGTACAAAATCCGATCGACCTGAGCATTATTCAGATGATAAGAAGAATCATCTAAAGACAGATGGGTAAGGAAAGAGTCATCTGGCAATGAAGTTTTTTGTGAAATCTGTTCCAAATTACAGCACTAGCGAGTAGAGACTTCCATTTAAATAATCAGGCAATTTGTTTGTACCTTAATTAATCCCGTCTTTTTGTCAAGTTCATATTTGACCTTGCTTCCTTTAGTGATCTCCACAACCTGAAGGAAGCAACTAAGCATTGAACAAGCAGAAAAACCACTTTACTAGAAAATTGCGACTCAAAAATGGAATTACGGGTGTTACAAAATTGGTGTATAAGGTGCGAGAAGATTGGTTGTTGGAGACTCAAGCTAGAAAAAGATTCAGCACCTAATGGTACAACATGACAATAGTGAAATGGTTGCAGCACACAGCACAAACTCCGTAAAATGAATGTTGAAAATAATAGCCTCATTTTGGACATTATTTTCGCATAATGAGGCAACAAGTATTCTTCCAATGAAGGGGATGAATTACTTACACAGTTGAAAATGTGAGGAGCTCCAGGTCCTGCACATGAAAAATAATAAGTTTCGAAACATGATTTAAATCTTAATAATTAATAATGTAAATTGAATGCAAATGGGAAGATGAATATGAATATCAACAGTACGTACCAATTTCAAGATCATGCCAAGGGTGGGCAGCTACTGATCTCCTTGACAAAGATGAAAGAATCCTTTCGTTCAAACGGGGAACTTGACGATTTTCTTGAGCTTCTTCACTATTCTCACCCATCTTTAAACAACAAATTACGTGAAATTTGATGCATGAAACAAATGGGAGATATGCTGCAAACTAAAGAAGTGCTTATATACGATGCATGTAGACTATATAAGCTTTGAAACAAACAAAAGACGTACCTTGATCGATCGATCGAGAGTTTATAATATTAATGAAAGAGCGAGTAAAGAGGATTGAGAAGAGAGATCCGAGTAAGTGTTATCGTCTATGTATTTATAGAGTTCAGGAGACGAAACGAGACTTTGTCAATTCTTTAGAGCATACCCTTCGCCTCTTTATAGGAGACATGTTAGCTTACCACTCCACTTGTTTTCTCCAAATTTCAAAGCTCGCTATTATTATCATTATTATTATTTGGTATTAACCCCAGGACCCCCGAAAATCAAGTTAGACAAAAATATAAAAAAAAATAACTAAATAAAGCTTTTAGGTTCTTTTTTAGATTTTCCGGTTTTTTTTTTAACTTGGGGTCCCTCTTTTAGTTTGGTATCTAATCTTTGGTTAATTGATTTCTAGGTAATAACATTATTTTAACGAAAATTAGGTACCAGTTGATATAGAAGTTCTCACTTTACTAATTGTGATTATCAATAAAAAAAATTGTAGATCAACTCGTATCAAACGGGAAAAAGAACTACACATAACATTCGTTCGTTTTCTCAGTTCATTAGTTATTAATTGAATTCTCATTAATTTCTAAACTACTTAATATATTTGCCAACGATTACTATGAGAAATGAACACCTAATAACGAAATAATGGAGAAATTCTTACATAAATCTAGTCTACCTCATTTGGATGCTTTGCCCTTTTCACAGTGTAAGATCGCTTTTCGTTGCTTCATTAATACGATGCACGTGCGGCTTGCCAACGTCTTTTTCCACTCACTTCATGAAAAATGTTCAAATATAGCACGTGGCGGTTGTGAGAATAAAGGAAATTGCTCTGTCACATCACATGCATCTACAAGCATTGCAATTTGCACATCTTCTAAATATGGCATTAGTGTATGTGTGATATTTTGTTATGAATGACAGATGTAGAACCGCTTTAGAACTTTTTACCTGTGATTCATATGCCACAATATGTTATAGTTCTTTCTAGACATGTTGTATAACTAGTGAATAACTTTTAAGATGTAATCCAACCAAATCAGTGTCCCTCTTTAAGCATAAATCATGCAGACCAAATAAACATGCTTCTCTCAGTCTGTTGAAATTGTAGCTATATTTGCATGTGGTGTTTAGTTTTTTCCAATAGGAAAAGTCAATTTGGTAAGAAATGAGACTTATTATTACTTTAACACAGGTTCATATTGAACTGTCAGAGCAGCTCTGCTTCTCTTCTTCTTTTCATTTTAATTAAATGTTTTAAAATGAATTTGTTTAAGGAAACAATGTAATCATCTAATGAATCAGAGCTGCAATGCCTATCTTGTATATTTAATAAATTAAACTCTGGCGATGCAGTCATTTGTCGCGAAGATCTTCATCTGTATACCCATAAAAAAAATTGTACTAAAAATGATTCTCACACATTAAAAATAGAAACTGATTAAATTTATTAATAGCTACCAGTCTACCACATACACTTGCTTTATACCTTAGTGAAGTATGTCAGAACCAGAATATTGGATTCATTCCCCAATGTACATTAGCAGGGGAGTTACTTATGGTACACAAATACACATACACATACAAATTTTGGTTGTTGATCTTCTTTTTTAGGACTGACAAACTAAACTGACTGGAACATTAAGGAGGAAAAATTCAAGGGACATTCATAGAATCAGGAGACATTGATATCATCTGGAGAAGGCTTGAATTTGAGAATGTCTCCTCCAGTGCAGGTCCTCTCAGAATCCCTCCATCAGGACTTTCTTTAGTCATGTGTACTAACTCCCTCGCAACATCAATCATTCCTAGCTTTCCATCCACCCCAAATAACAGGCATCTTGTTGCAAGATCTGCAATTATTTGCATTTGCTCTTGGCGATAATGTGGTTGTTCATGATAGCAAAGAAATGGATCAAAAACTTCTTCAAATTTTCCAGCCCTTATTTGCTGTAAGGCTAAAGTTGGTGGATCCGAGTGATTTGAGCCAGAGATAATCTCAAGAAGCAACACACCCATATCGTAAACATCATTTTTGCATAGGCCAAAGCCAAAGCCTTCGTAGTTGCTACACAAGTGTGAAGCATAGTAAAAATTGGAGTTGATCAGGCCAAACCCTGCAATCTTTACAGAATAATCATCATCTAGGAAGATGCAGGCAGATTTAAGGTTATGGTGAAATATGGGAGGAGAGTTCTCATAGTGTAAGAATGCAAGAACACTAGCTGTTTCTGCAGCAATAGTCAATCTTCTATACCAATCTAAACCAAGTTTTTGTCCTTTGCTTTGATGTAAATGTTCCTCCAAGGTTCCATTGCAAGGATACTCATAAACTACAAGAGTGTTGCCAGATTCAATACAGCATCCAAGAAGACGGGCCATATTTCTATGTACCATAGCAGATAGAACTTCGATTTGTGACAGGACTTGAATTAAGTCTTTCTTCTCACATTGTAGCTTGTGGACAGCTATGTGAGATCCATCGCCAAAAACTCCAGCAAAAATTGTCCCATCATTGCCATGCATAAGTTTCTGACTCTCTTCAAAACCTTTAGTGGCTTCCTCTAGCTCACGGAGGCTGAATAATCGAGTTTTACAAGCTTTGGGGATTGAAATGTTTTGATAGTAAGCCTGCTCAGGGTCAAACATCCCTGGTTTTACTTGTCTTTTAAGAAGACAAAATAGTGCAACCAGGGAGGCAACAATAAGAACTGGACCAATGATTCCTGCATGTTGAGTTCTGCCATTAGATTGACACAAGAAATGCCAATATAACAAATGGTGAAGAATAGGAAAGAAATCTGGTAGCCGTGATGAATCCTTATTGACCTTAGCATAATTGGTTGAATTGAATCTGTCCTATAGGTTAATGAGATTGTAATTTGTGATTTAGCACACTCAAGACTTTAGGAAAATAAAATTACTCGAATTTTACAATGTCTTCTACTTACCAGCAATGATAACAAATTTCCTTTGATCATGTCTTTGGATGTAGCAGTCACTTCCATATGCTTCCCTTCCATCCTTTATGCAGGCTGCCATTGATACATCAACAAGAAGAAAATGTCAAACGTGAATGAAGAAAGTTCCAAAAAAAAATAAAAATTACAAACATATCCACTTTCATAATAAACGTGTGAGGAACTAGAATCTTGAAGACTACTGACCCTGCAAACATCCAGTTCCATTAGCAAAACCATCACCAACATATCCATTTTGACAGACACATCGAATGCCTTCTTCAATTGCTGTAGCATTGACCATGTTTGCATTGCTTGCACAAACTTCCCTGGAGGAGTTTCTGGGAAGAGCCCATTCCAACTTGACCCCACGTTTTCCCCAAGTTGAGCCTCTCAAAACAGCCCAACTAGAAAATCCCCTGCATCCAAACTGAGAAAACACTGAAAACCCATCTCCAACATGCCATATGGAATGATCAGAGAGTGGATAGCAGCAGGCAAGGGAGCCTCCACCATTTCCATCACAACCAGGCAAGTCAATGGTTTCACAATCAGCTTTGCACAGAGAAGAATCCTCACAGTCATAAAGGCCAATAACATTATCGACTGATACTCCAAAGTGCTCTTTCCCTGGAAAACTTTTGCCAAAAGAATTTAAGTCATTGTACTGGCGGCATGATGATGATCCTGGAAAGTCCACCAGTACACCATCAGAGAAAAATTCCAAGACTGTGAAGCTCACTGAGCCAATTCTGAGTAAAAGGGATGAGGAATTTGAGCATAAGAGATGGAAAGTACTGGAAATTGAGTCACAAGAAGTGTTGACATAGAATGGAAAGGGAACATGGAGGTTTCCACATGTTTCATTGCAAGAGTTTGGTGGCAGTTTCGCTTGCTGTTGGAGGGAACAAGAAAATGGCAAGCACACAAGAATAGCAACAAAAATTACAATTGGTGACATTGCCAGTGAAAGGACTGTACGTGTATGTTGGTTACTAAGGAAGAAGAGGAAGTGTGCCCAGTGTAGTTTACTTTAGCTTAGATACGTTCATGCCCATTTAATGGATCTTAAAATAGAGAAATTATAGTATGTCTGTAAAGTAAAACTCATTCATACACGTTACGTGAAATGACAATGACAATAATAACTCAAAGAAATGGAAGGAGTACGGTACTGGTAAATCCTACTGCACTTGTGATGAAAAATTTGCAAAATGAATACGTGGCAAAATCAGGGAGGTAGTGAGTACTGTGAAGAAGGCATAGAAGTTGGAGAAGGAGAAGACGATTGGTCTGAGGAATGGGGTACACTTCGTATCAGAATAATATATTGGACCGTGTGCTGAGCGAGCGTGGCCAAGGTTGTGAGCATTTCAATCTTGTTGAATTGCACAAAGCTTAATTACGTAGCATAGAGTATTGTGAACTTGCATGGGAATCGAGATTTGAAGCACAAAGTGAGAGGAATAATATAAATGCTAGTTAGTTTTATATGAATAAGTAAAAGCTATTTCGTTTATTTAAATCTAATTTCAACCATTCATATACATTGAATGCTCATATTTATTTCCCCCCATATCATGCTCTCTCCATGCATATATATATATATATATATTAGGAAAAGCTATATTTACGAATCAATCAAGAGTTTTAAATAAAATCAATTTTTATCGATCTTATAAAGTTTAGAAGAATGTTAATATGTGTCTTTAAAGCACTAATTAAAAAAATTATTATATTTTCACCATAACTTTAATACGGCTTCACTATAATTTAAATTTATTAATTCTTTAACAAACGTACTCAAGACACCTGTTAGTCCACTAAAGATTAATATATGATATAATTTTGAGCAACATAGTTTCAGGATTACGGAATGTCAGATTTGTCAACAATGTATAAATGCGTACCTTACAAAAAGAGAAAGCTGAATAATTAATGTTAGTGTTAGGGACCCAACATTTGCCTATTGGCGGTGGAAGTGCTTCTGGATTAAATGATGCCACGAGCCCAGGATCTTGAGCCCAGATAAAAGCAAACCTAACTACACCAAATAGCTAAGCCTAGACATTGTTCTGTGGCCACCTACGTAACACAATAGTACACAAAAAAGTGTTGGCAACTAGGGCTGTTCAGCCGTGGTAACTTAACTGCATTATAATTAGGTAACTCATTAGAAATATTAGTGAGTTAAATCAGCATTATCTTGTGCTGGGGACATCTAGTTGCCAACATATAATTATGTTGCTACATCCAATTGTCAACATATAATTATGTTCTTTTGTTTTTTCCATCCGTGACCGGCACAATTCAATTCTTTTATGGAGCCAAAAGAGTAGTGATGAAGGTTCACCTTGATGGTGTTAGGTGAGAAGCAAGCGGTTTCTTTCTTTCAGATGTGCTAGTTGAAAATGTTCCATTCAATGACAATTTAACAAAGATATAAATAAAAAGTAGAAAATGATACGAAAGTTTGCATGGAGACGTTCGACCATAAGGACTCCCACGTCATGGTTAAATTTCAACTTTAAATATTGCAAATAAATAGGTAAAATAAGCAAAATTTCAACTTTAAATCTTGTAAATAAATAAAATAAGCATTGGGTAAGTTTTGTCGGTTTATAGATGCACTCAGTTAAACTTATTAGTAATGATTCAGCTATTCTAGTATTAGTCGAAACTCAGTACTAGGTTTCAGATTAAGATATTGCGTTACTTTTGTCTTGCATGTGTGTTTTAAGAAATTTTAATTATATTATTCTTTAGTATTAATATTTTTTCGTGCACATGGATTATAAAAATACAAATATTTAAATTGCTTATTTTGATATTTTGGAAATATATTTAATCTTTATTTTTTGCCAAATTTTGTTTATTTTATAATTTATTATGAATAGGATTGGTAATCATCATATTTAAAATTAAAGTTGTAGTATTATGATTTAAAATTGTAAGTCACTCTAAGAAAAAGAGCACTCAAAATTATTATATAGGGGTAGTGTATAAGAATTGATTAGGCTTTCTGATTGAAAATTTATCGGTTGGGTTTTACATTCTTATTCTGTAGCTATTTCTTCGTTCTCTCACACTCCTCCATCTTCCTTATGGCCATTTCCACAACTCCTGTATTTATATTAAAATGCTTATCACATTAGAATGAAAAAATAATATTGATATCGTATTTATGAATAATTACGCATATAGCTCAAATTTATTTTGTGCAGTTAATTAAGCACGTATATATAAATATTTTGTATAAATATAAAATTGTACATGATCGCGGGTCACCGAATTATATACATTTAAGCCCAAACTGACAGCCGAATTTAATTTTGGGCCACCTTCAAACTTGTTGAAAAGGTCGACAATATCGGAATTGGTCCATAATAACTAATAATTAAAATATTACTGATATTATTATTAATTTTTATCTTTAAATAAAGAAATTTCCTGGAAATTTAAATTTTCCAAGTTAAATTTCTTTTATCATTAAAAATATTTGTTATAATTATTAATTCGTCATATTTAAAGGCATTATTATATTGTGTTATGTGGTTATTTTGTTGATACCTACAAACAAACTTGAACATGATGCAATAAGTTTTATCTAATAGTAATCCTCTCAAAAGTATAAGTAAAATGGTTTAAATTTAATAGCTGTATGTGTTCTTCTGTTCATCAATAATCGAAAAGCAAAAGATATATGTTTCTGTTTTCTTCTTTAAATGTCATAGAGAACTCAACCATGTACTACTTATTCAGAGTATAAAATAATAAAATAGAGAAAGTAGAGGGATAGGTTCTTTTGTTTTATACTTCCTCACCGTTTTGAAGATGAACACACACCTCTCTCGAACACAATGATAACCAAATGGCACCAAACTTCCCATATAATATGCTATGTATCTTGTTTAACACTTGGTCATGAGCTTCACTTGGCTTGCTTTTAACATTCAATTTCTTTATTTTTCAAGGAAATATAGAGAATTCTAGCTACGTACAAAACAATAAATTTCTTATTAGATATATTTACTAATTTTGATGCGCTGTTCGTATAAAAAAAAGTTATATTATCAATCAATTAAATTATGTAGTAAATATGACTTTTAAAATAATTTTAAAAATAATAATTCCCATTAAAATAATAATTTTTTGATAAACCATTAAAATAATAACTTGTGATGATTATAGTGTATCAATGGATTTTAATTAAATGATATTATTATAAAACTTAGGCATTCTCTGAACTACAACTTTAAAAGAGCTCCATTCTGATTACTCGACTTCAACTGTTGTATCGTGGTGCTCATTCGTCAAACAAATCTAAGAGTTAAGGTTCATTAGGTGCTATCTATAAGGTCTTTCGCTCAGAACATTTCTTGCATTGCTCGCCGCATGTCCTTTTTTTCTGCCAATTCCTAAACCCCACTTTGCTGCTATTCAGTTAATCCTCATTTTGCATCATTGGAAGATTTCCACTTGCACAGATCCAGAGAGACATTATCCACGTGCTTTCAGTGAGCTTAACCTGTTGGCTCTATTTCTACAAGTTTGTAATCTATAAAATGCTTAGGATATAACAAACAAAATTGGGAGAATTATTTTTGAATTACTAATTTTTAATAAAACGGTGATAGTTTCATTATGTGATACATCAAATCAAATCAAATCATTTACAATGTCCAACTAGTTAGAAAAATCATTTAAAATTGGGTGAGTAATTTTTGAATTATTGACTAATTCTCTCTCAAATCTTATAATAAAAGTAGAGTTTAATGCAAAGGAAAATTCTTCAAACGATACGGATAATGAGGGAAACCAATATTATCCATCATAAAGTAAAAAAGAAAAATCAAATTTGAGAATCATGTGTGTAATGAAACACTTTCAAGAAAAACCATACGAGCAAATCTTGTTGAAGAAATTTTTGTTCAATCTGAGCAGATTTTGCAATAGAGGAAAATAGGTCACTACAGATGTCACACAACTAAAAAAAATCGAAAAGGAAGTGACTGAATGAAGGATCATAAATTGCTTAAGTGTTCAATGCTCAAACAGTACTTAATGTTTCTTATCTAAGTCTATTTTAACGGAGTTTTTAATTGCAGTAACATCGGTCCAAGAGTGTAAAAGAGCGTATGTAGTAATTTAATATGGTACACACACCTACACGACAAGTTTCGTGAGCTGCAGAATTAGAAAATAAGCAATATAGACATTGAACAAGAGGACATAGAAATGATATATGCAAACCTAGAGATTTTCTTTGTGTGATGTTGCATGCATATATCAAGCGTCAAGTTGAAGCCTCCCTATCCAAGCGTATTCTCTTTGGACCTTTCTCTTCTTCGTTGCAGGCCATTCCGATCCTGTTGTCATTTGCCTCTACCGAACATCTTTTGTAAGGTTTAAACCCTGTTCGATGAGTCTTTAGCTTTCCTTGTCCAAGACCTAAGGTTAGCAGTCCCTCCACCTCTTTGTTATTTTCCACAAATGGCAGGTTTTTCTGCACCCCTGCACAATTAGAACTGCATTTCTTGCTGTCAAGATCTTCATCTTTGTAGTCTGTGCTTTGTTTGTTATCCTTGATGTTGTCCGTCTGATTATCATTATTTTTCAAATCATGCGGAGGTGAAAAGCTTTGAGGCAACACCTCCCTGGAGAATAGGGCCTGAAAGGCGAGTCGCCCCTGAAAAAAACAGCGGCATAAGGAAAGAAGCAATGCATGGATACATTATATTAAAATCTGATCGTAAGATATAGTGTGATACCTCTTCAGAGACCTCCTTCCAAGAATCAGTAAGGTTGCTAATGCATCTACTACGACGATTACTAGGCTCATTAGCTAAATGGTTTGCATCAGCTGTCTTTAACTCTTCCTTTTCTTTCTCATCCTTCTCTAGTACCTCAGTCTCTTCACTGCTGGAGGCTGTGTTGGAACCACATGAGGAACGATCAACCTGTTTCCTTCCCTTCATTTTGTTAGAATCAGGGTGCTCGGAAATTTCTTGGTTTATCTCATGATTATCAGCCTTTGATATAGTATTTGAATTGACATCCCCAATCTCCTCAGATTCCGATGAAGAAACAACTGGTGACTTAGAAGCTGAATGTTGAGCTTGCAGAGCTTCTGAGTGTTCTGGATCCAGTACCTGATCTTGCAGGGGAGGGTTTTGTAGTGTAATTTCTCCTTGCTCTGTTTTTTGTGGTGATTCACCAATATTCGGTGATGGAACTGTAACTGCTGATGCAGGAGGACAGGCAAAAGCTGCATGGAGTGGAGCATACAAAGGAAGCAGTCCATGGGCAGCCCACCATGCAGTTGCAGCAGATACTGTAGCAGCTGCAATAGTTGCCACACTTGGAGATGAGCCAATTTGACCAGATGGAAAACCTTTAGAACACACGGAAGAGTCTGCCGAAGTTTCTGCATTTGCATAAGGCCAAAATGTAGCAGCTAAACTTGCTGCAGCATGAGCTGCAGGGTTTTGCAGCGTGGTAGAGACAATAAGACTTGAAAATGTGGAGGACATGTGAAGAAATGATTGGAAATCATCCTGATTATGTTGTGTATAGGGAGGACAAGGAGGAAATGATTGATGAATTGAGGATCGTGCTGTGTTATTTTGACTTTCAGTTGTGTTTTCTGTAGCAGAATTGGTGACAAGATTTGGTTGTCCATTTACCCCTCCTATTGGCTGAAATATGGAGTCTCGAAACAACATATTTTGGGATGGATTTTGAGTACTAGCTCCAAGGTTCCCATCAACTACGTGCACAGGGACATGTCTTGGGAAATTCTGACTGCCTTGCATTCCATCTAGTGTTAACGCACAATTAAGACCATCTTTTTTCTCAGATTGCACCAATTTGGACGCACCAGAGTTCTCCAACTCGGAGACTTCAAAACTGCCATTGTTTTGTTGTGCGTGCTTGCCACCATCTGTCTCCGACTTCTGATTTTCAAGCTCAGTAGTCACAAAAAAATCATTTGTTTCATCTCGAGTTACATCTTTCTCTGAAGGTATAAACTCCCTTAAGGCACATAAATTTCTCAGCGGCACTGACATTGAGTTCTTGTTTGCCGAAGATACAGATAAACAGGCTGCCTCCTGGAAGATAGTAAATATTTTTTAGCAGCTTTCGTGCATATTTTGTTTAACAGTTGTATGACTTTTGTTGACATCATGCTTTTAAAGGAACAACTGAAATTGAAAAAGAAAACACAGAAGATTCGAATGACAAGGGAAGTATAAAAAAAAATATTAACCTCTGGAAATGGTTCTTTCTCCAAGTCCAGTGCTTGTTTACCAAATGAAGATGCAACTGAAATGAGAGACTTTCCATGCTTTGCTCCACTATGTAATATTGAGGTACCAATACTGGTCTTACGGGGATAAGGATTGCTCGGTTTTCTTTTTGGTCGTGGAGGGGGGATGTCTATGTCAAGAGCTTGTCCAATTGGAACACCCTTTACAAGAGCTTCTTTCTCCAACTGAAAGTAAAAATTTTACAGCACTCTCAGCAGGGGGAAGTTTCACCAAAATCTACTTAAAAAACACTAATTGGAGCATTAATTCTTGTATGGACTTTTCAAAATACTAATTTTAAAATTGTAATAGCTCTAACACTAACATTTCAATGCATCGTATAAAGCATAATCAACGATTAACACGGTTTTCAATCAAGTACTACCTTCAAATACCTATAGGTGTAAAACATTATCTAAACGAGGTTGAAAAGCTGGAGGAAAGTGATTGTAGTTTATGGAAAAGATATACATTTTTCTTGATTCATTGCAGACTATAATTGTGTGGGAAAATATTGGCATCAGGATTCCGATCCTCGAGTTATTGAGTGAACGAACTGCTCAAGTCATCCAAGCCAGAAAGTACAGTCACGGTAGTAGTTTATAGGGATAAGGACAGGTCAATTAATAACAGTACCCAGCAGAGCATAATTACATGTTATCAGAATAATATGACCGGACGTAATTTGCAGAAGCCACTACTGTTGACTTGAGAATAAACATTTCAGAAAAGGTATTATAAAGAATGTTGTACAAAACTGTTACATGGATAATATAGCTCATTTCTCAAACCTACAAGCTTACAAAAAAGGAGGCTATAAAATCAAGAAAAGGTATTTTGCCAACTTGTCATTGCTTTGACGTGCAGTTCTACTCTATATCTGACAAAAATGGCACAAACATTAGCGCAGTTGAACTGAAAAAAGGGGGACTGGCTTGACCAAGCAATCAAATTGACTACTTGACCAAACCAGCCCGCCTTGTCTTTTATCACTTTTATCTTTTTTAAAATCCATTTTTGTTTACATGTCTTGGTTGCACTTGTGTACTCCATCGAAGCAGTGAACCACCTTAACTTTTCAATATAGACACCAATAAAAAGGGTTCAGCGTGAAAACTCAGTCCCAAAAAGCTATTAGTAAGGGTTTTATTAAAGGTTGTATAAACTGAGTAAGAGCCTCACTCTACCAGTGGTTCAGTCTAGTCAATTATTGTCTTAATACAGGTACCTATAAGCTTTTGCTTACATAACATTTTTGTTATATTATTTATCACAAGGCAGAGCTCGAACCGTATGTATTGTGTTGTGAATAAACATATACATATTACATAGGAACCATTGAAAATTTAAATTAGAGTTCTGTTAATGCTTATGAAACAGTTCCATTTCTCGTCTTTGTACTGTTTATCTTGTATTAATGATCATATTGATGTCGTTGTAGCTCGCGAACAGTTCTGCGAACTCATTTATTACAGGAATTAAATTATTAACTTTATTTTCTTTTTTATAGGATGCCTAAATCTCCAAAACAATTTACTTGCATTTAGTCTGTATATACATACTACATAACTGAATCATCTGACATGCTAGCACCAAAGTACTGCAATTCCAACAACCCTTGTGGGTTTAAAGGATCAACTTTACTAATTACAAATCAATGCTCAAACCCTTTTACTTAAGAATCTAAAGTCCTTTAAAACCAATAGAAGGTTCCTGAATCACTTCTACATGAAACTCTGTTAATCATTAAGTCCCTTTTTGAAAATCATTGTTACTGTAGAAGCCATTCATGAAACTTCTTTTCTTTAGATGCATTCGATTCTACATGAAACTCTGGTAATCATTAAGTCCCTTTTTGAAAATCATTGTTAATTTAGAAGCCAGTCATGAAACTTCTTTTCTTTAGATGCATTCGATTCTAATGATCTGGGTATTTTGAAGCATTTTTTGTATATTAATATAGCATGGGGCAAGAAACAAAAAGCGTATATTTATTTTCGAAGAAAGCGTATATATGATTTGCTTATCCTTAAATTAACAGGAATTATAGGAGCCAACCAGTGGACACCTAAATGATTCCTTATGTGAAACTTTCAGCAGATTATGGTGATTTTTTCAAGAGGAATGAAAGAAGCCGGTTAGTAAACGCTATCTTAGAGTCAGCTTTCTCTATACCTGTGGTCAGTCAGTTCATATCTTCTCCAAGAGACACTCCTTGAGATTTCTAAAGGAGCCTCCCAAGCAAGGCAAAAACCATAATACGTAGTGATGTACAGATTGGGTGGGTTTTCCTTTAGGAAATTTTTTATTTTCATTTTCAGTTTATCTGTTCTCGTTAATAGTTACAAAATGTGAGCTTGTTTCGTTTTGTTTTTTGTTTTCAACAAATTGAAAGGAAATATTGAATATGAAGTGACGCTTCTACAATTATTGGTAAGAAAACATATATATATATATATATATATATATATATATATATATATATATATATATATATATATATATATAAAACAAATTAGACAACCCCTGCCCAACGTTATTACAAAACATTATAATCATCTCTACAGATGTTTTTTTGTTACCATGTCTCTCTACATTTTTCTCCGTGTGCTCATGGTGCTGGATTTCAATTCCCTCCATAAATTAATTTAACTTTCTTAATCCATTATTTGATGTATCGTCATGCATCAATCATTATTTAAAACCAGCAAGACAACCCCCCTTATCGAGTTCAGACAATTTTCCCAACAAAATATTAATTTAATTTCCTTTTAATATAGAAGAAGCACTATGGTTTCCACCACCTTTGAATTTCATCATTTTGTTAACCTTTTTTTTTCTATTTTTTATTCAAGAACCCAAATCCCAATATAATTTGAAATTCAGCAGTTCAGATGCAGAACTATTTTGTGCCCATTGAATGGGAGTTTTATCGACCAAAGTGAATAAAAAAAATATAAACTAATTAATAAATCAAGAGAAGGTCAAAATGAAGTATAAATTCAAATTCTAGGACCAAAACTTTCTACATATAATCCAAGGTGAGAAGGTACCGATTGACCTTTGAAAAGAATTTCTGTGCATGGCTTCTGATTTGCACGGCAGTCTTTGTTCCAATATGCTCTGCACAGAGAAAGTAAAAGGCCGGGGTGTGAGAAAAAAGAGCAGTCCTATATTCAGATGTGATCAAGTGGAGACAGCAGTCTTCGTCATTTCCTAATAGGATATTTATGAGTATATTGAATATCAAGATTATTTGGAAATCCACAATGCATTTATGCATCTAAAGATATGAAGATAAGAAAATATATTAAGGTATTAATTGGTAGCAAAATATTGCCTTCTATGCGCTGCCATGCTCGCCCGTATAGCTTCAGGGCTTCAAGAAATCTATTATGTTCCTCCTCTGTCCATCGTTCTCTTTGCTTTGTGATTGTATATGGTTTTCTAGTCTGCAATTGAGAATTAGCCGCTCCGATGATGATGAATATTAAAATTAATTAGGCTGTGTTTGTTTTAATTTTAAAATCAATTCCTCACACTGTGCACAAGCTCTAATACAAACATATGGTTCAGATTAATTCGAACACACATCCCAATTACGTTTAACAATTCAAAATCAATTCTGTTAAATTTTAAACAAACGGACTTATTTCCTTTCAATCTCCCCCAATAATCTGACCTTAACAACGACTTCTTCTCCGGAGGAGTAGGCGTCCATTGGAGGACGTGTGCAGCTAGCGCTGCTTCAAATCTTCTCTCACAAGGAGTGGGTAGAAGGAATATCTCCTTTCGTTTTTTGTGACATGGAGCACAGCAACTATTAAAGCCGTTGTGGATAAAGTAAGCAGAAGCTGATGATTAGGTGATGCTACTGCAAAACAAACAAAAAGCAAGAACAATAGGTAGAGATCCGTCTCTGTTTGGTATCAACAGTTATAACTATAAGCATTCATTCTCAAGTCACGCGCAAAATAATCGAGATGATAACAAATGACAAATAAAAAAGATTTAATAAATTTTAAGAATCCACCGCAACAGAGAGAGAGAGAGACGCTTCTCCGAAAGAATAAAAGAAAACTCTTTAATCAGAATCCTCACCAAAACGAACTCCACGGCGCCAAAACCTTTCAAACGCGGAAACAGCTACAATTAGTACATCACATCACTTCTTACTTTCACGTTTTATTTTCTAATTTCACGTTACCATAAACAAATACACAGCAATTTCCATTCTTCTATTTGGTTGCCGAGAAAAATTAATCACAGAGGCAGAGCAAGCAGAGTTTAACTCATTCAAATCCGGAAAGTTATTTGCTGCAGAGTGAGAAACCAAAATATGCAGAACTATACGTTTTGCAGTTTCCAACGATTAAATTTTCTCGGGAACCAAACAAAAAAGGAGGGGAAACTAAATTTTAAGAAAAGGACACGAAAAGTACCTCGAAATAAAATCATGGTGAAGAAGAGGGTTGCAGGTGCGATCATTCATGAAAAGCAACGGAATTCACCGGACGCTCGCCGGAGGACTCATTTGCGGCAATGGCGAATTAGAGTCTTGGGATCGGAAGAAGAATCAAACTGGAAGAGAAAAGAAGAAGCAGTGGTAGCAGCAGAAACAGAAGAAGAAGAAGAATGACGGAACGACCTCAACTACAACGAACCAGAAACATCCACACCGAACTGAAGCAATCTCAGCCACTACAATTTCTCAAACTTTTTTTTTTTTTGGGGGGGGGGTTTAAAATGAAGGGGTCGTTTTAATTTGAGGCTGCGAAAGGGTGGAAGAGTAAAACTGCGAAAGATCGCGACAAGTGGCATCAATTTAGTGGCTGGTGGTGCTAACGCACACACTTGCACTTTTCTTATTATTTTTTTGCTCTTTTATTCAATTTTATTATTATTATTTTTTGCGACCTTTTCTCTTGAACTGAAATCTCAACCACAAATCCACGCTGTGGTTTCCAGTCCCTAAAAGCGTTGCCAGCTGTCACATGGGGACCCCTTCAGTTGCGTGGCAACGGCAACAGCTTCATCCGGTTACCGCCGTACGTATTTTCCGCCAACGTGGCACCTCGCTTTTCAGAGACCGCTACGTGGCGCTTTCTTCATGGTCAGTTCTTGTACGTTGGATGGGATCAATGGACACCAGCACGTTCGCTGTGACACTCGTCCGATTCATGAACTGGTCTTTTTCTTTTTCTAAACTTTATGTTACACATGATAATTACACTTCCCAAATTTAACAGTATATTTTATTGTTTCTGGGGTTAAAGTATATGTTATTCAGTTTAAATTTAAAAAGTATAAAAACACGACATTTTACTTCATTCGTCGATATCACTTAATGCACAAATGTGAAAAAGTTTTTGAAAATATTAAGATATAGTGAATATAGTAATTTGTTTATCTTTTCTTTCTGGAACAAGATTTGGTTTTGCATTTTTGTGGTATTGGAGCTGCCGTATGGCCACTTAAGGGGGTAGGCAGGAAAAGTGTGTTAGGTTTTGTTTTCCGATTTTGGATGATAATAATCAAAGTATTGTCCGAGAGATCCTTGGCCAGTTGCTTCTTGGCTTTTTTGTCCTTTTAGGGTTAAAAATTTACCAAAACAGGACTTCATGTAAACATATTCTCAGTCTGGGATTAAGAGGTGATGTGGCAAGAGAATTGTCTAGATCAGAGATGATACATATGATGACGTGACGAACTGTGAGAGTTTCGTCCTACCAGTAGCCGACACTCATGACAGTGTCGTCTCACTTATGAGATATTGACACGTGTCGCTTAATGAAGTTGTGTCGTCTATTTTTGGACGGTTTTAGTAGCGTCTACAACAAAGACGACTCCAGTGCCGGCCCACGATACTCGATTTTAATGTGACCGGTGGATAAAAATTTTGATACATTCTTTTATCCAACTTCAAATGTGTATAAATATGAAACTTTTACATTTTTACCGTGAAGCTGAAGAACGAATAAGCTGCTGGAGAAGACATTGTAACTAGATAGGCTAGAGAAGAAATTGCAAGAAGAACAATAATAAGGTTAGATTTTTTTAAGCATTATAAATATATAATTTTGTTTATTGGTTATTAAGAATTTATATTTTGAATAATAATATTTATTTTATGTTTGGATAATATTTTAAGTGTTAAAAAATTAAATATTTGTAATTACAAATAAATTTTTAAATATAATTTTATTATATTATAAATTTGGCTTATTTGTAATGCAGGATGAATGAAATTGTTGTTATATTATATTCAAATGGTAGAATATATGAAAGAAATGAGGGTATAATTTTTGAAGGAGAAAAAAGGATGATTAAGATAGAACGTGACATCATTGAACAACACGTGTCAACATCTCATTAGTGTTGTCTAATAATGGGACGACACTGTCGTCACCCGCCCACTCTAAATCGAAAATATGTTTACATGAAGCCCTATTTTAGTATTTTGTTTTAAAATTAACCTTAAAATGGCAAAAAAAAAAAAAACTCTTGCTTCTTCATTCCCAGCCGCCAAGTTCAGTTCACGATAGATTTGTTTGAAGATACTTATGATATTCTATTTGATTTTCCACCATGTAGTATAAAGATGATGGTACGAAATTTTCAGCAAATTATAAAATAGTCGAACTTCCCCGCATTTTTGGTTAATTACTAGTATGTTCATTCATGACCATTCTATGTGCAACACCCAACTGTGAGAGTGTTGAACAGTTTGTACGTTACAGTTTCTGGTTGTCAATTATCGACCACCAGCTCAAAGACTGATAGTTAATGACCTTTTCTTTCCGAAGTAAAACTTACCACTATTTGATTTTTCTTAGATTACGATTTGTTAGTCCTACTCAAATATTACTAATGAGCACGGAAGAAAAGTGAAGGTGGAAAAGGTTAGAAATATAAAGTTATTGACATAAGAATAGGTATGATTCACAATAATATAAGTCAATCCTTAAAACAAATAAAATTTCTTCCTTTTCTTTGGTTCTTTGGGAGTTGCGAGCCCATTAATATATTTTGAGCCAGAGGAAGTACTTGGATGACTGTCACAGTTTTGGTCCAAACAATCCATGCTTATCTTTTTTCAGAGTGAGTGATATATAAGTCATCTTTTTATCAACATATAATATAACAATTTCAATGCCTAAACAGTGAACTGCTCCGTTTGCAATTACTTTACAACTGTAGGGGCGGCGCCAGGAACTTTCCCAAGAATAGTAAGCAAAAATTAAAATTTTAAGGGCCCAATAGTAGAACAAAAACACAAGAGGGCCCAACCGGGTTCGAACCGGTGACCTCTTGATCTGCAGTCAAATGCTCTACCACTGAGCTATGGACCCGTTGATATGACAAACGCGCTTACTGTATTCTGTATATATCTATATGTAGCATATTCAAAGGGCCCTACCATGTTCGAATCGGTGACCTATTCATCTGCTCTGCTATTGGATGTGACAATTCTATTTATTAGTGATTTAGTTTATTCATACAAAATTTTAATTAATTAATTTAGTTATAAAATTAAAAGTAATAAATAAGTTAGATTGACGTACCAATATTAGCATCAACGATTAACTATCCATAATATTTTATAATTATTATATTAAATAATTTAAAGTGACAGTTTATTAATTGGTGATAATTTTTTAAAAGATGAATCTTAGACTCTACAACATTAAATACATACCAATATTAAAATTTATTTTATAAAAAAAACATATTTTAAATAATTTAATTGTATTTTTACTAAATAAGTTATGAATATATTATTTTTTAACATATTTTAATGATTTAAAATATATTAATAATTTTTTCATTCAGTTGAAAACTTATCCGAGTTATTTATTTAACACCTATGTAATTAATTGTTGAATGTTGAGTGTCAAATATACGTTATTTTTAATTATACACATAAACAAATTTTAACTTGACGGTTTCTTATTTTGCACATCTCACAATCTATCTGTTATTTTTATTATTGATAGAAAAATGAAAATCAGGCAATTCAGCATTCCACATCTTAAGTTTTATTCGCTATGATGATCATCTTTTAACCAGCAGTCTCGTTTTTGTTTTTTTTTTTCGATATTTATAGACTTAATTTATATAGGCAACATTAAAAAAGTCCTATTATCAACTAATTAAAATACAAGACAAATATAATTTTTAAATTAATTAGTACAAATTTTTTTTAAAAAAATTATACTATAACAATTAATTATTAATGAATAATAAAATAGTCTGTAAAATTTTAATTAAATTCCTAAATTAATAATTACTTTTAATTTTAACGTTATTCAGTCAAGATTATATGAAATTAAAATATCGAATCAAAATTTATACCTATTGATTGAAGACATAATATTTTACATAGTAGTTTTTTATAATTAAATTTTTTTGTGCGATATTTATGGTTTTAATATTAACTCTAATATTCTTGTGATTTTGGAATAAAAGTCAAATTCTAAGTCGTCTAATAAATTAAGAAGGGGATTGATTGCGTGGTTTGATAGGAATATAACGGAAAAGGCTAAAAAGAAAAGCGGACGAAGAAGCAGGGAGTAAGTGAGTGATTGGAGAGAGTGGAAGATGGCGAGCGTTCCGAATTCGAAATTAGCAGTAGCAGCAGCAGATTTAGAAGATGAAGAAAGCTTCGCGTATGCTTCACAGCTTGGAAGCTCCGTAGTGCTTCCCATGGCACTTCAATCCGCGAGTGAGTTGGGAGTATTTGACGTATTGCAAAAAGCGGGTGCTGATGCTAAGCTATCAGCAAAGGATATTGCGTCACAGCTTTCGTGCGAAAACCCACAAGCTCCCTCAATGCTAGATCGTATCCTCGCCCTTCTTACCTCTCACTCCATTCTCATCTGTTCCCTCATTCCCGACCACCAAAACATTGGATCCTTTCTCAGACTCTACACCATCACTCCGGTAGCCAAGTTCTTTGCTCGCAACTCCGATGGAGTTTCCTTGACCCCCTTGATGGCTTTGATTCAAGATCAAGTCTTCCTCCAAAGCTGGTCTATCTCCATCCTCTCTATTTATTATTATTCTTCTTTCCCATCAATCAGATCCACTCCAGCTAGCTCCTCAATTTAAAGATCCATGCGCAACAATCATGCATATTTATATTTAAAATTCTACCAAAATCCACTTTAGACATGGAGAACCTCTCTAGTTTTAGATTTTATCTCCTTTTTTTTTTTGGGTAAGGAGCATTATCTGTGTCTACACTACATTTGTTATCCAAAAATAGAAACAAAAGCTTATTTAAGAATTTATTACAAAGGTGAAGTTTACTTTAACTAAAGACAGGACAGGAGTTAAGAAGATTTTAATAGGCTAGGGCGATCTAGTGACGATTTTCTAATTCCAGCCGGTCCTGTTGTCAGTGTTGTGTAGTGGCCAGTATACACATGCTATTTCTAGAGCTTATTCTGAAATTTTAGAAAATATGGGATATTTGGGAGAAAATTGTTTATCATTATGAGAATTGTAGTTTCTTCGTTTACTGGAGTAAATTAACGGAATATTCATTTGTAGGTCCGCGCTGAAAGATGCAATTAAGGAAGGGGGTATTCCATTCAACAGGGTTCATGGCACTCATGCTTTTGAGTATCCAAACTTGGACTCAAGGTTCAATCAAGTTTTTAATGCAGCAATGGTCGGTAACACCACTCTAGTGATGAAGAAGGTTCTGGAATGCTACAAAGGTTTTGGGGATATAAAAAGGCTTGTGGATGTTGGCGGTGGTCTTGGGATCAACATCAACATGATCATTTCCAAATACCCTCATATCCAGGGTATCAATTTCGACCTGCCTCATGTCATAGAACATGCCCCTTCCTATCCTGGTACGATCTTTATACCTTCTAATCCTTGCCTGTGGAAATTTGAGAAAGAGGAACGTTATACTTTTTTGTTTTTCAAACACCTGTTTATTATTAATCAAAATTTACAATAAATAATATATAGATTTCATTAAATATGAAATGAATCTTGGATTATTTTGTATAATTCATGATTATTTTTTTTCTTTTCTATCTGTCATTTTAAAATTTTAATATAAAACTTAAGAAATAGATTTAATATTTTTTATTATAATGTTTTATTTTTGTTTATTTATTTATTATTCTTAATATTTTCAGTCTTGAATTTTTCTATCCTCGTTACTTCATGATTCTTATTGTTTGTTATCAATCACCACCGTTTAGTTCTGTCTCTTTCTTTGACTAATATGGATTTTCACAATTGGCATTCCTTCTCTCTCCATATGTCACCTTCTCCCGGTGAGGAAAATTCGTGTATACTGTATTACTTTTCTGCACCGGCTAGCTCTTTCAATTTTAAATTCAGATTATTTAGTCTATGACAAATTTTCAATATTAGAAATGAAGTCAATTTTATTAATTAACATGAGGACAGATAAAACACTGGAGTCTCATTTTATCTTTGAACTTTTCAATATTTATTACTTAATTTCAGGAAAGTGTGTAAAATAATTATTTATTTTAAGTTAATGATATAATTAATAAAAACATTTAATATTATCTTAAACTTTAAAAAATAATAAATAAATATAAATTTAAAAACGACATAAAAACATAGAGTAATAAAAAAAAAAGTAAATGCCTTCTGTCTACTTTATTGATAAGCAAGTTCAATTCCAATAATAAAAGCTAACAGTCAGCTTTGCATTGTTACTAAAGCATGTTCAGTTTCAAAAGTTTATTTCATTCTTTGTTTATTGTTGTCAACATTTCATTTCAAAAGTAAAAGCTACCTTTATTTTTAAAGAAAGAGAAGTAAAAGGTCGCTAATGATGCAGGAGTGGAGCACGTTCGTGGAGATATGTTTGAAAGTGTACCAAAAGGAGATGCCATCTTTCTGAAGGTAACTTTTAATTTAAAGATATATTTGGGGGGCTGAGTGCGGGATGGGTGGTAGGGAAACAAATTTACTCACTAAAGCTTAAATTTTAATTTAAAGATATATAATAAATTATTATTAAAATATCATAACATTTAATATATTAATAATATTAAATATTATAATTTATAACCAAAAATATATTATTTATTGATTTTATATTAAACGAACTGTAAGTTTAAAAGACAAAGGGCACTATCATCTTATAAAAAAGAAGTGATATTATCTCAAACAGTTTTTTAAAATGGTATTTGATAATTGAGAAAATTACTATACTCTCTCTTTATAATTCTTTTATTATATTATAAATTAAAATATTCTTTTTAAAAAAAATAAATTACCAACTTCATTATTTATTAATTTAAAATTAACAGTGATGATTATTTATAAAATGTCTCTTGATTTATAAAATTACTTTTTAAAATTTATTTTAACTTTAAATATAAAAAAATCATCAATTTTCTTACATAATTACTATTTTTTTTATTGAAAAAACGCTTTCTAAAAACTAAAGATAAACATACCAAAATCTGTTTTTAATTTTAATTAAAAAATCATATATTATTCCACTATAGTTAGGGTGAGAATTTGCCCGCTCGAGATCTTGTGAAAATTTTTTTTTTTTGGCGCACACAAAAGAGAATGAAATAATTTGTATTTTTTTATTCATGCCCTTTATTTCTCAACTAAAAATAATAAAATAGAGAAAAAATATTAATTAAGAAATGAAATGTCTCTTTTATATATTTTTTTTTATTAATTGGTTATTCTATAACTAAGGAGAAAAATAATTAATTGAAAATAACGTCAAAATATTGTAGTAATTGTGTCCCCTTGACAATTGCAACCACTCCTCGATACCGTAAGCAGCATCGTTAACTGAACCCACAATTGTAACTTTTGGGCACACCCCCGCAATGGTGCTTTGAAGTCGCATAGCATGTACACTGTCTTTTTATTATTACTCCGCTCAATTTTTATAAGAAACAAAATAAATAATTTTTAATTTAGAAGAAATATAAAATAAATTTAAGATGTATTGCATGAGTTTTTTTTAAATAAATTTATATTTATAAAAAATATTTAATTTAATTAATTTTTTATTTTAGTAAATTATTTATTTTGTTTTGTATAAAAAGAATCCAACAGAGTATTATTATTATTACACATGTACATTGTCTTTGAATAAAAGATAAAACAAGAACGAAAAACAATATTGATTGATATTTAAATTTTGAGTTTTAAATGGGTAGATAAAAAAGAGATAAGAAAAAAAACTAAAGAGAAATAAAAGTGATAAAAAGTAATAAATAAATAGAAAAAAGAGAAGATAAACAAATAAAAGCTAAGAGAAAGAAGATATTAAAAGAATAACAAAGTAACTTAAAGATTGAAAAATAAAAATAACATTTAAAATATGTTATTTAAATGCATAAAATAATATTTTTGTTTAAGTATAAATAAATAAGTAACATTAAATTTAATTTGACTTAAAAAATCTAACTTTATTATAATATTTATATTTAAAAAAATCAATTCTTTATTCTTCCTTTCCTTCATTTATACCTACCCCTGCTTTGGGAGGAAGAATTCTATCCCATGAAGTTCATCACATTTTTCTTCTTTTTTTTCCTCTCCTCAATTATATATATATATATATTCTGTAATTTTTTTCTCCCTCAGGTTCCTCCTTTGAACCGAACTAGCTGATAGAGTGAAAATAGATTGTGTTTAAATTGACTATATTAGTTTGATTTGAGTTTAAATATTTTGGGTAGTTAAGTCAAAATGAAACAAGGCTTTTGTTTAAATGTTTTGGTTTAATGGTTTAAAAAATATTAAAAAATAAAATTAAGAAAAAAAAACTAAAGATTGTTTTAAAAAAATGAGACACAAGACTTAAATTGCATATTAATATAAAAAATATTTAAAATTTAGTCATAAATTATAAATAAAAATAATATTAAAGGATTTTTTAATACTTAGCTCCACATGTTGAGATAAAAGTTATAAAAAAAAAACTCAAAATATTGTTTTAATGATAGAGGTATTATGAAACATAGTGCGTGGCAGTTCTAGGGGGTAGTAGAATAACAGAGGGAAAAATCTATCAGGATAAAAACGAATGAAGCAAATTAAAAAGAAACAGGTAAAAAAAAAGAAACAAAATGGTGTGAGATATTAATAATAATTTAATGGGGGCAAAGGGAAGAGACGAAGGGAAAAAGAAATGGACTTATCAACTTTAAAGACAGGAATAAATTGATTGAAATGGACTATAACCTAACAAATCATAGATACATGCTTGATTTATTTTGAATTTGATTGGAGTAAGTTTATAAAATGTAATATTTGAATTAAATGTCTTTAATTCCTTATTTTGAGTTTTATCAAATTTAGGTGAAGGTTTAAAAGGTTTGCAAAAATTTATGAAAATAATTTATAAATTTTTTAAAAAAAATTTAAAGTTCATTTTAATAAATATTTTAATATAACTGATCAAAATACTTTTTTTAATTTATTCTAATAAATTTAATGATTAAATTTATGTTGCAATTTTTTTATGTAATAAAACACTATTAAATATTTAATTAAGCTATTCATTCAAATGCATTCTAAAATTATAAAATTTAAATTTTGAATTAAATATCATTAGTTTCATATATTTAAATTTATATTAATCTGATGACTCAAATCAAATCAAAAATATTTTGGATAAGTTTCAAAAATCCAATCCACACTCGGCCACTTCTGGATAAGTTTTATCCAAAGGTGGGTACAGATTTGGATAATGAACATGACAATTTACATATACTTAACTACTAAATTATCCAGTGGATACTTCATGATTGGAGTGATGAGCACTGTTTGAAGCTGTTGAAGAATTGCTATGATGCCATTCCTGATGATGGGAAAGTGATTCTTGTGGAGGCAGTTCTTCCAATAATACCAGAGACTAATACTTCTTGGAGGTCCGTTTCCCAAACTGATGTTCTGATGATGACTCAAAACCCCGGTGGGAAAGAGCGAACTGAGCAAGAATTCTTGGAATTGGCAACTTCTGCTGGATTTAGTGGAATCAGATATGAATGCTATGTTCGCACCTTCTGGGTTATGGAGTTCTTCAAGTAGACCATCTCCTACTCTGCTTACTTGGTTCTGCGTTTCATGTTTATGGTTTTCTGCATTTCAAAATCAATAATTAAACACGCTTGACTTTGTATTACGTTCGTGTTTCAACTTATAACTAGCAAGATTCTAATGCAAGCTTTTAAAAAAAATATTAAAATTAATGTTGTTAAACATTGGTGAAGTGAAATTAATCTTGAGAAAAAAAAACATGCATTCATTGCCAACAATGAAAACTTTATTTCGTTAGATTAAACAAATTAGAAAGAAAATATATTTAGAATTAAGGAGAAATTTATTTTAAAGGATTATTTGAATGAAATTATGTTATTTAAATGCTTATTAATATGATATAATGTGTAAATATTTTAAAGTTAATATTCAAATTAAATTGAGATTGGTCAAATTTAAGATATAAAAAAGGGTTAAAAAAAATTACTAGATGTGTTTTATATGAAAGGTTACATTACTCAATAAAAAATAATAAGGATATGTTTGATTTTTCTTTTAAAAAGAGTTTTTAATCTTTTTTAAATATAATATAAAATTGAAAACTCTTTTAAAAATAGAAAATAATAGCTCTAAATCTTTTAAATTTTCTTATTTAAAAGTACTCAGATTTTAAACCAAGACAGAAGAGGGTGAAAATGAAACTTCATTTTAATTCTACAAATGTCACTTAGTGTGTTTGGTTTGTTACAACTCTAGGATGATTTTAATGTCCTTCCTAAAATTTTTGTAAGAGAAAAATGTTTTTTAAAAAGGCTTGCATACATCATGAATTGTTGATTAAAAAGTTTTTTAATTGAATAGTTAAAAAAAGGTTAAATTTACCAAAAAAAACATTTTAGTAATTTTAATATCATCTTCCTCTTCCTCTGTCTTCCCCGGTGAAATCCTCCACAACAGCAAGTAAAGCATTTGTCATGGCTACCAAAAGATTAGGGCAGTTCTTTGACATGGCTACCACAGCTGCATTTGTCATTCTCTGACAGAAAAAAAAAAAAAATCTATTGTAATTTCCTACAACCTCGAGAAATTGCCTCAAACCCCAAGTTAGAAACACAACCTTCTGTCTCCTCTCTCGTGTTAACAGTGAAAACACGAAGCTCGCAAATCTTTGCAAGTTGCAGCCACTACTTGAAGCCTTCATCACATATTGAATCAAGAACCTGCAGATAACCAAATCAAGACCACTTAGTTTCAATTTAACCCCCAATTCACTAACATCAAAACACTCGAATAAGCACAGACAATACCCAAACGTCTAAAGCTTATGGCAGTGGCGAATCATAGATTTGAGTTTATCTGCATTGATGTTAGCATAGCTGAAACTCAAAGACGTCAGATTTACACACACGACACAACATATACAATTGAAAAAACAAAATTCTCATTTTCGTGGGTAGCCGACCCGAGTTCAAACCTCATCTATGGCTTCTCTTGTTTGCAACGGCGTCTCGCCCTTAGCACCTCAACCTTGTCGTGAACCCAAATAGAAACTCCTGCTTCCCCCGAACCCAGCAACGAAGAGACAGAAACAGTGACGATCTGTAACGGTTACGTTGACGTCGCCGCAACACTCGTCGCCATCTCCTCCTCCAACTTCCCCTTCCTCCCAAAAGCTCTTACTTTGTTCTTCTCTCGTAACCACTCTCTCCCTCTCTGGGCTTCACTCAATTTTGCTGACATTGAAGTGCCTGTTGTCGAATCAAAGACAGGAGCTTTGTTCTCTTTTGTTCTATCTACTTCACAACAAGTAAGCGAGACGGAGGAGGGAAGAAGAGAGACGAAGGAGGACGAGTAAAATTCACTGATTTGCCCTTAAAAAAATTTACTTCAAAATCATTAAATTCTATTCTAACTATTCATTTAACATGAAATCAGATAATAGTTAATAATTACGTGTACTTTGCTTATTAAAAAATATTATTTTCTAAATTATCCTACTTATGAAAATTTTAGGAAAGAATTAGTCACGCGTAACTTTAACTTTGTTTTGACACGTGAATTTTAGCATCCTCTCTATATATATTGGATCACTTTTTCAAAAGTTGAGATCACTTTTCAATTTTATTTTTTTTTCTTTTATCCGTGTCTATAATGATCAAGTATCCTTTCATTTATTAGATTTATAACTAATTATATAATCATGAAAACTCTTCTACAAATAGATAGACCAGGGCATGTAGTTGGGTGATTCCAACGTCGTCTTTATTCTTTTAATAAGTGAAGGGAAAATATTTTTTATCAAAACTAGCATAAAATATAAACCGTTGGTTTGAGAAGTATTTGAATTCTATAGTTAATATTACAGCACATAATCAATAATACAGGTAACATGATCCTAATTTCATTTAGTTTTAAACTCTTCACTATTTTTCCCAACTATATCCGCACTTACAAGTCTCCAAAATTATCAAAATCTGGAGCGGCCAAGTCTTTTACCTCAATCGCATGACCCATAAGCTTTATTATTATATGATTATAAACACAATTTTGAAACAAAAATGTCAATTTTTTTTTATCACAATCTAACTCAAAAATATCTTTAAAAAATATAATGCATAATTGAGAAAGGAAGTGATAAAACTTTTTGACAAATACACCAAATCGTTGAAGTTACAAAGATTATCGTCTATAGGGATAAGTGTTAAGTATCAAACTACAAAAATATTACTATTTGGGTCACCAAAAACATGGTATATATAGTAGTACGAAATTAAACACAGCAGAATTGTAAAATTGAAAGTAAAGGTGCTGAAATTACAATTAATAAATAGACAAAAGTAAAACTTAATATAGAAAATAATTAACATGACTGTAGAATGTAAATAACTCAAGTAGAGAAAATAGGTTTTTGCAAAAATTAATAAATGGGTTGAGTTTAGAATCTCTTATTTCTTTCCTCTTGCTTAAAATATACTTGTAACTCAAAATATAGCCAATCTAATGGTCAGGTTGTCTAAATTATCCAACTTCAATCCCTTGGTAATTGGTTCTAAAATGACTTTTAATCTCCTAATCTCTTAGGTAAACAAAAAACGTTCAGCATTAAGGATAAAACTCATATGACCACATTATCATAAATTTTTATTCCTAGACAATTTATAATAAGCATTTTAACCCTAGTCCAAGCAAGTCCACAACTTTCCAGCAATGAACTCCTTTTCATCAACCCCATTCACGTAGAACAACGAAACATTAAGTTCAAAATTAAAAAGTTAGATTAAAGCTTCCATCTTGAGTCACATACAATTCTTAGTTCATTGCAATGGGTAAAGGTATAAGTTCATCTTTACTCAACCCCAAGAGATTTAATAAGACATAATGGAAATGAAAAGAAACAAACTAAAATATATTGAAAAGATAAGAGTCATGTTCAGCAGATAAACTTACAATAAATGGAAAATGAAAGAGTTACTGTTCTATTACAAAAATAAGAGAAGATGGAAAGAAAATCTAAGTTCCCATGAGAATCCTTCTACCAAGATGTAAGGACATTGCCCTACTTACCCTATTCTATGTAAAACTGTATGAAAACCTAGAAAATCGTGCTCCAGAATGTTCTAAAAAAGGAAAGATAAAAGATGCTGCATTTTCAGAATTTTTTCGCTTTTATATGCATAAGTCAGCATCGTGTCCCCACAATCAGGAATTCATGTTCCCACAAATCAGTCCTACAACACTCATCTTTTGCTCTTTAAGTCCAATTGTAGAATCTCTTTCTAATCCCTTCAAAATAAAATTGTCAGCTATTAAAATATGAGTGATTCATGAATTTTTCAGCAAATACAACATTCTATTGAATTTCTCAATTAATTGTATTAACTTATAATTTAAATTCAATGAGATATGCCTAAAAACCTTTAATTTTCTAGATGAGTTAGTGACTTATCACAACCCCAAACTTAAATGTTTGCTTGTTCTTAAGCAATTTCTTTTCTTTTTCACATGAACAAAAATTTTGAATTCTAGCAAACTGCCTATTTTTTCTCTCTTGCAACAACAAAATAAATTTTTGAAAATCACAAGTAAGTATCAATTTTTTGGACACCAAGAATTGAATTAAACTCTCTCTCAGGATATCTGTTTTCACTCCATTCTCTCAATGTATCAGCTTGTGTTTAGCTCTCTTTAATGCATTTGCTGCTATTTTTTGCTCTAGATTTGGTAAATTTCTAGCTCACATCTATTCATGCAATTAGTTATAATTAAGAGGACTTCATAAAGGTTAAAACATGGTTAAGGTTCAGGTAAGAAAATATTTTGGCTACTGGCTATTCCCTATATAAAAGAAAGTATGAGGGATAACTTAGAAAATCTAAGAGTTGGAATACTTGTGTGCACTTCCTCATTGAGTATTTCAATTTTTTCTTTCTTTCAATAATGCAGACCCAAGTTTCTCTTTTTGATTTTCTTCTTTTCAACTCTTTTTTTTTTTTTTGGAAATAAACAAACTTGAGTTTGTTTTCTTTCAATAACATCAGCTGATTACTTAATTTTCCAGATATATACACCACCCCAAACTTAAAAATAAAGCTTGTCCTCAAGCAACCACTAATACAACCCCAAACTTAAAATTTTTATGTTATCCAAAGAGAAGCTCATACTTCTAAGTCATAAGGAGGAATACTGGTTTTTTTCTATATGACTGAGGGTGAAATTATGTACGAAGGAAAGTAATCAGGCTCAAAGGGTTCAGCAAGAGATAAAGAAAGGTAGGCAATATAGTTAAAGGAATGTTCAACAAAAAATGGCCTCAATCACCTTATAACATGAAAGCAATTTAAGATAAAGCAAAAAATTGACAAATATTACAAGGAAAATAACAATCACAGCAAGCATGCTCACAGAAATGACAAATAGGCTTAATTGCTAACACAGGAAATTTATGAAATTTAATTCAACATGATGTTCAGCAATGTGCAAATTTTGCTTGTGATGTTTTTAACTATGTGAACTGTGCAAGAGTGAAAGAGGCATCTATTGAATTCAGTGGGGTTTACAATATAGCAACTAGTTAATTACATGGGAAAATTCTAATTGTAAAACAAGTACATAAGTGACAATAAATAAAAAGAAAATGCAGAAGGGGACTCTCCTGAGTGGTGGAGCAATCTGAGGCTTGAAACTTGCCTCTGCTCCTTTGTTAAAGCACCTGGACAAATTCAATAATAGAGAAAAATAGAGCATAACATATATAAAAGACTAGAAATTAACAATATGTCCATAGGCAGGATAGTGCAGAATTTTAAATCAAAATATTGAACAAATCGCTGTGCAGATTGCATTAACAGTGCACCATATTCATAAGACAGATCATGCATTATTCAAAAATTATTGTATATTTGTACAGACTGTATACTAAAAAAATTGAATCGATGAGCACACAATATTCAGCTAGAAATTTAATGCAATACGTAAGAAAGCATTCAGCACAAAATAAGAAAATATAGCACTAAAAAATATCCCAATATGAAGTTATCATATCAATAACAAAGGTGCTTATATTTCCAAGTTCAGTGAGTGTTCATCCAATGAATGCAGCAAGCATGAATCAAAATTGAAGACCAAAAGAGTATGTTCAGATTTAATCAATAAAATTTGTATAGTAAAAAGAATTAGATTTGCATTTGTCCACTGTGTACAAACCAAAATTTTGAACATTCAAGACTAAAAATTTGATAGCACTGCATAAGCTAAGGTAAAATTCGCAAGGCAAAGTAAAACACAACATCAAACATTAATAACAATAAGAAATATTGAGGGAACTATACTTAAACAAAGATTGAGAATAATTTCAAAGCACAAGTCAAGAAAGGGAAATTTTATAACTTGCTTCCGTTCCAAGTGCAGTAACAAGGTGTACACAACAATTTTGGGCCATGTTTGAGTCAACAGTGCTTAGCTCATTCTCAAAATATAATAATCATGAAATGGACACTCGACAGAGATCCAATCTATGCAAATCTGACCATATGAAACAAA